TTTAGTTGTGTTTTTTCAAGTAGATCTAATTAACCAACAGTTCAAAATAAAATCCCTCCTCACCCTTCTCTCCTGGGCCCCACAGGTGCACTTCATCTGTACGTACGCCTATCCTCCCCTTATTTTCTATTTCCATTTTTTCCTTTTTTTCTAATTAAGGTAATTATTACGAGATACACACCATAACGTATTATTGTAAATAGTTATATATATCTTTTCTTGCATGGAGCAACGAGCTAGCTGTGCAACGTGCAAGCAGTAATATTTTTTATGGACGATATATACATTGATTTTATGATATGCTTGAACGGTTGTATTTTTTAATTAAATTAATCAACAAGCTAAGTCCTATATTTACTATGTTTTCGATGTAGAAATAGTCATCTGATGGATCATCTGTAATGATCTCATATCTAATAGGTGCCGTTTGAGATATAACTATGGGATGTCAGTTCGTCTGTTACATGCATAGTTGGTGGCCGATCGTCACATAGTCTAAATGATTGTATATAAAGAATAGATAGGTAAATGATTATATTTTTTAATATATTCCTTTTTAGTTTGATCCATTTAGGCCTTTCTTGATATCTGATAAATATATTATTAGGCATAAATCCATATCCTTTCCGTGACAACTAAACATCAATGAAACGTTATATAAAAATTGATAACCTATATCATATCATCATCTATTAGATGTCCGTTACAACACCTTTATGTCAACACATTTCACATCTAATAAATTATAAAAAAATCTTAATTTTTTTGAGAAAAAAACGCATATGACCATCGGTTTTATTTAAATCGATGGACACTTCCCTCTCCAAGAAGCTCAGGGCTCTGCTCTCCTCTTCCCCTTCCTATTATTTAGCTAAAGTCCATTAAACTTTCTACAAATGCTCCTAAACTGCCATATGATACTCTAATAAATTAGAAAAATCGAGGCAATTACAAGAAAAAAACAAAACACCTAGCCCTCGATTCTCACTTAATACGGTGGACCCAATATTTTACAATATTAGAAAAATCCCAAAATCCATCTCCACCGCCACCTTCCTCCTGGGCCTCCTCTACAGACGGTACGTACGCGTACGTCCCTCCCTCTTTCCTCCCTTCCTTCTTTTAACTTTCTAGCTAACAAATTAATAAAAATCATAAAAATTCTAATTTATTTTAAAAAAATTTAAGGACCCATTAATTTTAACCATTTGATCTTCATCTACAAAGAAAATCTAGTACCTGCACCCTCACCGCAACCTCCATACGTGCGCACATAACCCTCCTAACTCTCCCCTCCTTTCCTATTTATTAAGCTAACTTCTATTTTTTAAGCTAACACTCAATCTATCAAAAATTAATAATCATATTTCTAAATGATCGTAAATCTCAAGTTAATTTTTTTCTCTTTTTTTTGAATTATTGTGCTATTTATAATTAAATACATAATTCAAGATCCATATACATAGCTCAAACTTATAATATAAATGTTTAAGAGCAAATTTTTAAGCACCATATTAAACAAATATTAAATTTGAATCCTATAAACGCTCCTAAATCACCACGTGGCAATCATACCAACGCTCCTAAACGACATGTGACCCTCTAATAAATTATAAAAAAATCACAGGAATTATATATAAAATATTCTAACCATTGATTTTTCAATATTTTCAATCATTAGATCTAATCTTAATATTAATCTACTTAAAAACTTCAAGATAATTTCATGCTCCATTGATTGATGATGCCATCCATGAGTCAGCCGCACGTACTCCGTGTATATGTTCCGTTCATGAGAGAGAGTGTGCGATTCTTACTCAAATTGAAAAAAAAAAGGAAAAACCAAATCATTTGACTCGGCTCACTGAAAGAAAAAAGAAAATTAAAAAAAACATCTTGCTTCTAATTTGAAATTAATTTGTCAGACCTGTTTTTAACAAGCTAATACATATGCCCGCGTATCGCGCGGGCTACCTTCCTAGTTGGCAAAAAGTTACATAACTGTAGTCTCCAACTTGCGACATGTAACTTTCAGGAACTCTCCACCTTCATCACACCTTTGTAATTGTGCCCAAGACCGGAACCAGTGAGTTGCCCTGAAAATGACCTGCATATAGGAAATTGGTGGTGATTTATCAAATAATTAGAATTGAGAAATTGGTGGTGATTTATCAAACAATTAGAATTGATTGTATTGTATCAAATAATTACTATTTATCCATGGTTTAATGATTGTATTATATCATTAGTATTGTGAATTTTTAATAATTAAGTCTAACTTGCCAATAAATATATCGAGTCTTACATTCTGACAACATGATCAACACGTTCTGCATCATTCTCTTGATTATCGGAACATCAATACCATGTTTACAAGTGGCTGCCTTATTATTGAAAAATTAAGTTGGCCAATTATGACAGAGGTTGTCCTAAAAGAGTTCCGTTTATGATCAACACGCTTAATCATGTAAACCTAGTCACTACAGGGCAAATAATGCACTTGGTGACCTCATTTGTCTATGGACATAATTATACAATGCACGACTTGACCAACTGCAGCAGTTAACACCAATCCAATCCAATTTTATTGGCATAACAACAACGAGAAAAATGTTTCTTTCAGAACATAGTACCATGACATAAAATAGCATATTTTGGGGGCCCTGCCCTATGAAAATCAAACATTTTATGTATGAGAAGCAGAATTCAAACTACTGCCCATTTGGTGCAAAAGGGCTGGAGTGGTTCAGCACTTTGTCAGCTCTGTGGGGAATTAGAAACCACTAACCACATTCTATTTAGATGCCCTGTTGCTATCTTTGTGTGGTGTATGTGTAGAGATGTACTAGGTTGGGATCAGATCCCTCTGAACTTTGATGATTTCTTCTTGCTGGCAAACTTAAGAGCTGTTCTTAAACACATGAATATTAAAATTGCTTTGCTTGCTGCTGTCTGCTGGACTTTATGGATCACCAGAAACAATATGGTGTTTAGAGATAAATTGATTTACTCTCCACTAATGCTTCCTTTCCAAATTAATTCTTTCTTATTACAGTGGATGCCTATGATCAAGGGTGGGGAGATTGGTGAGCTGGAGCTGATGTCTCCTACCGTGGCTTAGCTGTTTTGCTGATGAAACTGTATCCTTTTGCTCTGTTCTTTGCTTGTAAGCTGGAGTCCCCAGCATATCTCAGATGATTAGCTTTGAATATAAGCTGGGTCCTTGTGACATTTTCTCTAAAAAAAAAATAGCATCGAAACATGGAATTCTCTTTCTTCCGTCCAAGTTTGATGACAGATGCATCAAAGTCAACCAATTGCAAACAGAACAAACATGAACCCATGTGATATATGTATTCAGATGCTTTCGTTCGGATATTGCCCTCCTTTTTTATATAACCGACTAAGCAAATTGCACATCAACATTTCCGTCTAAAAAAGGTACAGTCAACATCATAATGAAAGCATGCAGAAGCATCTTTACTTAGTACGTAACATTCACTAATTGCTAGTACTAAGATAAGAAAGATGAGGCCAATCGTTTTGCTTATGCTCATAAGCCAAATTTGGAATTTTAAAACTAAATTGCGAAGATGATTTTGTGGTTATGTGCACCTACATAAAAGTTTTACTCATAAATTATCTTTAAATTACTAATAAGCGATTCGCATAAGCATACGCGAAACAATAAGGCCAATCATTCAGTTTCGACAGTGCACTTAGTTATCTCTGCAAACTGCATGTCAGATCATTCTGGCATGGATCTTTTCTGTTCCTACCTGCAATGGAAAATGGGATATGTCCTAAGTCGATGAAATAAAACATACTCTAAGTAAATTATACCTAAATTATACCTGTGTTCAAAATTCAAGTAATACTCCAAATCACAAAAAGAAATAAATAAATGAACAGATTTCTCTCTGTGACAGAGAATAAGCACGCAAAAAGATTGCATGATGGAGAGGTTAGGTCAAATGGCCCAGAATTCCAGCAGAGACAGATGATGCGTGAGTGCATCCTGTTATCCAGCCAAGGAAGGCTGTGTATTCTTGTGAGCTGTGAAGTGGTTTTCAGCTCCTCTGCCCCCCATTCACATCATCCTCCAAGTGGCATGAAGACTGACATAATTTCTGGAGACTCTAGCAGCAATCCTGCAGCAACAGAACTGCAATTACGGCACAAATGATAGTATTATCATGGAATAATTCAGTCCAATCGAAAATCTGAGAGAAAAACGGGAGAGGTCTCCACAGGAGCATTGGCTCTAGGAATCAGGTGTGGTCCTGGAGGTGCCTGATTCCCAGACCGCCCTGGCACTTCGGCACACATAAGACGGTCCTAAGCTATTAAGGGCCTGTTTGAGGAAGCTTCTAACTGCTGCAGTTTCTCCCAGAATCAAAACCCCCCTCTCTCAAACAGTCCAGTTTTTTTTAGATTCTGAGAAGTTGTAGCTGTATAATATAGAAAATGAACTTAGCTGCGAAACCCAATTTTTCCATATTATCGGAAGCTGGCTATCAACTAGCTTCTTCTTAAAATTTTAAGCTCCCCATGTTATGTGGGGCATTCAGTACCAGCGCCAGAACCGTCGCCAGCAGCCAGAGCAGGCGCCATGAGGATTGGATCAAGTTTGTTATGATTAGTTTCAGTTGATTAAGTTTGTTAGGAAGATTAAGTTTGTTAGTTCCTTGTTAGTAGCTGTTTGGTTTCCATTGTAAGGCTACATAGGCCATTCGGTTTGAGTAATGAATCAAGAAAGAAGTAATCTCAGTTCCTGTTAGTTTCCACCACCCCTCCCGTCGAGCACAGCTACGCGCTGTGCCATTTAGGGCCGGCGCCTAACACCCCAAAATAGGCCCTAAGCATCGTGCCCCTGAGCTTTTCTCTTCACCTGACCACAGGAAGGCAAGCCTTCCTTCTTTTGTCGATCGCGTCAGATCACTCCCTGAGGAAGCTGCATGGTTGTCATTACATATACAGGCAGGCTATCAAGCACCGAGTTAACCAGAACCCCCTCTTCCTGCATAATTCATGAAAAGAGCTTGCCATCCCTCCAGGTAGATATTAATTCTCGCAATCAGTGGTTGTAGTTCAGCAAAATTCAGTTTGGAGCTGGACAACGGAAGCCCGAGACTAGAGTACACCTGGGGGAAATTTTTCTACTTTGCAGTGGAGGATTGCTGCTACTGCTAGAGCTTGAGTTTCAGCACTATCTTGTGGAAGCCTGGAGTTCCTGCTGTAGCCTGTTAGCCATTGCTTTGGCTGTGATCTTGATGGAGCAAATCTGTAGCCGGAGGGACTAGCATAATATGATGAGGATCAGGTATTGTGGAAGGGACTGATGCCGTGAAACCCTAGAGTTGTTGATTCAAAGAACAAACACATGAACATCATGGTTAGTGAAGCCTGCATTTCTGATGTTGAAATCTGTGCTAATTGCTGGATTGACAACTACGAATGTATAAACATCATTGTCTAAAAAAAATGAATGTATAAACATCAAACAAGCCAAACTTGTCACTTCAAAACGGGAGTATACATATCATATCGCAAAATAAATACAGTGCATAGATTATCTCACTTTGTGATCGAATTGTCACTGATAACAGCGGATGAGCTTCTGAACATCTGCCAGAGGACCTAAACATTCTGGTTGCATGAAGTCCCTTTTCTGGATTCCAAGATCCAAAGTTCCAAACCACTGGCAATCCAATTTCCATATTGATGATATCTATATTTTTTTCAATGAAGATTTGGTATCCATACAACCCTACTTGCATCGGTAAGCAACAGAACTGCATGCAAAAGTAAGTTCAGGTTCTAACCCAGTGGAGAAAACAATTAAACTAATTCATGTAAGCAAAGATGCGAGAGCTGAGGGAAAAGTAAAGAAAACTTAGCCTACGTTTATCCCAACTCCCAAGTAGTGTCAATTGAAGGTGGCATCAGGGATCAATTTATAGTAAAGCGGAGGTCTATGTAGTCACTTCTTGCCCTAGCAATAAAACTATGAACAAGCTGTGGCATACTTTGAAGCTCAATTGCTTACCTGACAAAAAGGCATTAGAGAGCAATAAGTAAGCCGGCAGAACATCACAAACCACTAGTAAAAATACTGTCAATGCTGCTCACAACAGAAACAGAGGTACCTAGTCACAGATGGCTTATAAACCGTATGTTATATAGTCAGAGATTTTTTTTTTCATTCTGAACCGTTGACTATTATCAGTAACAGATATAGTAGGACGCTACACAAAACCATATGTGATGACCCCTCCTCTGCCTGGTGGTGTATGCAGGCCAATCAGTGAAAATAATACCGCAAGCAGACAGCCTGCAAGCTGGACTCACTGGTTCAGTTCCAGGAAAATGTTGCATTTAGTATTTATTTCCAGATGCATTGTGCAGAAAATATACAAAGGATAAAACTTAAGACTTATGAGGTATAATAATTTTCCTACAGATTGCACTATCAAATAACATAATTGACATGGCATGGGTACATGTACATACATCCAAACTTTGTTTGGCAACATTTTTTTTTTTTGACGCAAAATTGGCAACATTTATAAAATCATGTAGTATGCATAGTGGTCAATTTGCAAGTTATAGTCCGAAGAGGTCCACGAAAAACTCAGACATGTTAAAACTTATTTACTTTGCTATGCTGCCCAAATAAACCAGTTTTTGAACTGGTTATACAATCTAGCGTCCATTTGAGGCACATACAAAAGATAGAGAAGCATGGCTTTCATGATTAAGAGGTAGAACATTGGCATTACATTATCAGTATTGGCAGATTGGCATCTATGTAGTTTACAGAAGTTCAAACATTTTTATCTGCAACATTTGAATAACACTATATGAGGCTTTCATTATTAAGTTTGCATTACATTATCAGTATTGGCATCTACATACAGAAGTTCAAACCTTTTTCCTGCAACATTTGAATAATTTCATATTTTGAAGTGCTCGATAAGAGCATTGCTCGCAAGCTCTCGTTTAAAGAAGGTCCCCAAAAACTCAGGCATAGTAAAATTCCTGTACTTTGGAGGGTTTTCCGAAGAAACCAGCTCTGGCAATGGTCCATAAAAAACTGAGTCCCCTCTCTTGCCAGGATTGTAGAAGATGGCACTTGAAACTCTGGCTTCTTCATGTGAATTCATTACTACCCGGTGTTCCACGCTCTTGTACTTATCATTAGACATTATCTGATAGAAAGAATTAAATTTGATGGAAAAAATTGGCATTAGTGAAACATCTTCAGTAAGCCTCTTAAAGCTGCGCAAACAATACTTTGAATGTCTTATTATCTAAAAAACAGAAAACATGCTTCTACAAATCATTAACCCAAGAAACATGATATCATTCTATAGCGAAGAAAAGTGCTCTCTTTCCAGGTAAATCATCTTCTTATTCATTCATTTTACCTTTTTTATGTGCGATTGTTGTATGCAATCAACATGATTTTCTTCTTCAAACAAGATGATTCTGGTGAATGGAAAATAATGTAGTACAAATTTTTGTTCTGGCCCCAGCAAAACACAGCTGTTTAGACAAAAATAGATAATGATGGCTGGGGGGGGGGGGGTATAATCCACAAAGCTATATTATATTTAGCAAAAACTCCTGTTCAGAATCACAAGTTTTTGTTATCTTTGTTGTTGTTCGTATTTATACTGAATTAACTTTTGCAACCTGAACACATGTGTCCATCACGATGGTATTCTATCACCAATAGACCTTATGGGGCGCACAGATTCTTTGGAGCACCACAACAACGATGAACTCATTGCTAAGACCCAATCATGGTCAGCATGGTCAGTTTTAGCTGGATTTTAACCCAAATTCTAAAATTTTATACTAGGATTGCTGGGGGTATAAGGAACACAAAATATGGCAAACAGGAAGAAACAATTTGATAAGAAGACTAGCAGAACAGGTTGCAAAATATATAGGCTAATTGGAGTCTTCATTTTGGAAGGACGAGCTGATTTTCAGGAGCAATAACGTTTGTTACATATTATGTCTCCATAGTGTGACCTGGGAAAATGATCAACAAAAAGGTATATATGATGGCATCCTCCCTCTCTCAACTGACTTGTATTAAGTGTTCTAGGAGGTGGAGATACCTCCTCAGAAGGTGGATATTTTTTGCTCCGTTTGGTCCCTTCAAAGGAGACTAGAACAAACCATATTCTGCAGTTGGCTTCATGGCATATTCACAACTAGTGATTGTGTAATTATGTGGGTGGGATATTGGCATCTTCATTTATATGTGTGAATATGGGGATCACTAAAGCATCATTATATATGTGGACTTATATAAGATGGCTATCTAAGTTGGAATCAGTAGGAGATCTGGAGTAATAGCTCCTCTGATTTGCAAGGTTTAGAGACAAAAATATGCATCTTTCTTTAGACAGTTAAAACCTGAGAACAAATTCATTTCAAAAATCTGGAGAATATGATTACACGAGAAATGATATTTTGTATTTTCAACAGTTAAGCTGGACATGCAGGCAAAATGATAACAGTTGCACACAATCCAACGGCTATGGAGCTATCACAGGGTAGAGTGTTTTAATCATGGCCTAACACAGTGCTAAAGGTTTATACGACCATGCTGCGGAACCACAAAAACGTATTCTTACTCATACCATGAAACTGAACATTTTCTTGTGTTTTAATTCTTTTTAACCAATTTAAGTCTCACAGTATAAAGCTAACCTATGCACAAATTTCAGTACCAGGAGCAGTTGCTTTGTTTCTAATTGATGTTGAATGTAACAAATTTCGTCAAAAACATCCTTAATATGCCAGGAGTGCAAGGTCCCCATCGGTTGGTCTAGGCTTATTATAAGCCATAGCGGCTTATTAGCGTTTATAAAATGATATGTGAGTAAAACTTTTGTATATATGTTCTTAGTGATTGAAAAGCCAAAGTTAAAAAAAAACTATGTTGAAAAAAATCAAATTCAAATTCAAGTTTTTAAATTCAAATTTTGGCTTTGGCTTATAAGCTATAGGGCAAACGATGAGGCCCCAATTCAAATACATATGAGATGAATTCAACCGAACCGACTACGGATCGAATTTGGGAGTTTAGGTACCAATTGAATGAATTTTACCTGCAATAGGTCCCCAACATTGATCATAAGAGCGCCGGGCACAGGCTTCGCATCTACCCAGTAGCTCTCCCCATCCTCGTTCGTGTGCTTCACCTGCAGGCCACCGACATCATCCTGCGCGAGGATGGTGAGCACGACGGGGTCCGTGTGCGGGACGACCCCCATGGTGCGCTCGGGCTCAGGGCACACCGGGTAGTAGTGGCACACCATCACTCTCCCCTCGAGGCAGGAGGCCTCCTCCAGCGCGTCGGCGGCGAGGCCGAGCCCCTCGCAGAGCAGCGCCATGACGGCGCGGGACACGGCGGTGGCGTGCGCGTCCCAGCCGACGACCTCGGCGCGGCACGCCGCCGGGATGCGCCCCGTGTCGGGGCGCGAGGGCCCGAACGTGACCTCGATGGTGTCGCGCCAGCTCGCGGCGCCGGACCGGTACAGGTCGAAGTTGGAGAAGTAGTCCACCCCGCCGTCCACGGAGCGGCCGTAGTGCGCGGCGCGCTCCGTGGCCGGGAGTTCGTTGAAGGCGCGCGTGGCGGCGAGGAGCCCGTCGGTGAAGCCGGGGGGGACGAGGGCGTGGTGGTTGACGAGGTAGAAGAACCCCCACTCGCGCGCGGCCCCCGCCGCGGCCTCGGCGGCGAGCGGCGCGGGGAGGGAGAGGTCGACGACGGGGATGGAGACGCCGGGTGGAGCGAGCGGGACGGAGGCGTAGGGGTCGGGGTGGCGGAAGATGTCCGGGACGGCGGAGACACCGGACTCGACGAGGCCGCGGACGCCGGTGCGTGTCTCGTCGAAGGCCTTGACGAGGGCGGCGCGGCCCGTTGCCGCGGCGGCGGCGGCGGAGGACGCCATGGTCGCCGCCTCGCCGGCTTGATGACGAACTGGATAGCTTTCGTGTGGATTGAGACAGATAACAGAACAGAGTTGAGAGAGAAAAGAAATCAAGAGAGAATTGCATCTACACCAGAAACATTTGGATGGTAGCAGCAGCAGCAGTTGTGGTCATGATGAAGCTACTTGGAGGCATGGGCTTGCGAGCGAGCGAACGGCATCGTTGGCGGTGGAATGGCTCAGAGGCTCAGAGCTAGGAAAGTGAGGAGGAGGGCGAAGGAGTCAGCACTCAGCAGCGGGAGGGCAAGCGGCTGCGGCGCCATGGTCTTCGTCGTCCTGCCAAACAACCGCCATGGATTCCGTAGGTAGTGAAGAGTGGCTGGGTCGCCATCGGTGGGCGGCGGCGCTTGAAAGAGGTTGAAAAGGAAGCCGATGAAGTTGAGATATTTAATTATTTGCCACTGTTACAAATCCTTAATTACCACATTTTAAAAGTGGCAAAAAGTTAAATGACCCAATAAAGTTAAAGAATAAGGAAGAAAATATATTTTTTATATTCCGTGTTAACAGAAAGTAACATAGTCGCGGTAACACTATTGTGGTATGGGAGGCCTTTTTTTTACCGTATTTAGATTTGTCTGTGTAGCTTAAAATTATAAGAAAGAAACAGCTAATGAGAATATAGAGAAACTGGGAAACACAGAGTTTAACTTCTAAGAATATATAGTTAATCCAGAAAATAAACTAGTTTATTTCTGGATTTTTACAACTACTACAAGTTATCAGAATCTGTGTGAAAATCCGAACCATTTAGGGAGAATCTCTATATACCAGAATCTCCCCCAAACAGAGCATTAGAAACTATATTTTCAATTGAATATAAACATACTTAAAATAAGATCATTAGCGTAAAATAAATTTTATTTTAATTATTACAAACGTCTATATATAAAATTTCAATGGGTTTATTTGATATTTTAAAACAATCTCCATATAAATTTTTTTCGCTCCAAACGTCTCGTTTAGCAGTTTGAAAAACGTGCTAACAAAAATAAGATAAAATTCGTATCTTAACTAGAAAAAAATACCATCTAAATATTGGTGGTATCCGTAATTTTCTTTCAAAAAAAAAGGAACCAACAGCAACGACAAACAAACATACTCCTTTTTTTCCATTAAAACTAAATCTATTACGAAACATGGTATATGCTAGTAATACAAATTTGAATAATCTTCTTTAGATTTATAGCACTATAATGTATCACATCCCGTATTTCTTTTTAACAGGAAGATGTGCTAGCAAGCAGAGAGTTTGGTGGAATCATGATAGTGACCCAACTTGGTAGACGAAGTTCCTCATGCCCTATAATCTTCAGGTAGGATCGAAGGAGTATCAATCAATACAAAGTCCCTCACATCACACTCGGTTTGATTTGTTATTTTTCTTTGATTTTCAGGAAATATAGTGTTTTATAGACTATAAACAATCTAATGTCTTAAAACTAACTCACAATTGAAGCTATGAGAGCATTTTGCGCTTGTGTGGCCACCGCCACGTTGCGACACAGTACCACGCACTAGAACTCAGTGGGATTCTTTTTGCAAAAAGAAAAACCTCTCTTTTATTGAAATTTTGTTACAAATTTCTTATTGTATGATTTCCGGTTTTTTTTGTCTTTAGGCCCTCCATGTCGTGGAATATCCAATATTAAGAAGAAAAAAATTGAAAAATAGGACCATGTTTGGAAACATGGAAAACTAGGATGTTCTTAAGTAAAATCTTGCATCCCTATCCCCTTTCCCCCAAAACCCTAACTGCCATTGTTCCCCCGCCCCTTTCCTCTCGCTCACTCTCTTCCCTAGCCGTCGCTGCCACCTCCTCCTCACACCCTCCCTCCTCCGCTTTGGTTGGTCGCTTACTCCTAGCTTGCTTCGCCACCAATGTCCACTCTCACAGCGCCGCATCGAAAAAAGATAGAAGAAGCACAACAAAGCAACAGAATGCATCTGTAGTCATCTCTCACATTTATTTTTTTTAATATACTTGATGTGCATAAAGCAAACGGAAAGAAAATGCATGTATAGCTAGTGAGAGACTTCGAGGGCTTCATTCTAGTAGCTAAACTTCTGATAGTTTCAATGAATGAGTGCTGGACAGCGTAGCCGCGTATAGAGACGAGATCCAACCATTCATCTATGCGGCCGGTCGTGATAGCTTGGGCAAGGCGGGACGGCAACCGCGATGCGCGAGCATGTTTCAGGGGTAGTGCTTGCTTGAAGAAAAGACAGGAGGCCATCAGACAGTTCAGAGAGGCCATGTTAAATTGTGTAGTACAGAGACATACTATAAATATTGGTTTATTATATTGAGTTTCATACTATGAATATTGGTTTATTATATTGAGTTTCAGTGTACCTGTTGTCAACACTTATCCTTGAAAGGTGGAAAATACATTAAAGTGATATATTGAATTTTGGACTCTATCCTTACGGCATACCCTCAAATCTATTTGTTGTTTAACGATGATTCCCCCTTAGGATCTATTTGATGTTTTACAATGATTCTCTGGAGGATCATTCAAGGGAGGGAAGCAATGCACTCGTGCCAATAGAACACACACATATTCTATTGCTAAACAGACCACGTGCACATAGGCATGAGCACATCACACACGTGTGCACATATATCTAAACCATATATTATAGTCACAAATGGCTTATTAACCATATGTTATAGTTAGAGATGAATTTTCTTTTCTGAACTGTTAACTATTACTCCCCCTTTTCATATTATAAATCGTTTTGACTTTTTTAAAGTCAAACTTCTTGAATGTTTGACCAAAATTATAAAAAAATATAGTATCATTTATAACACCAATTTAGTTTTATTACATCCAACATTGAAAATATCTTGATAGTTTCTTTGTTTTGTGTTGAAACTATGTTAAATCTAAAAACATTAACTTTAAAAAAAGTCAAAACAACTTATAACGTGAAACGGAGATAGTATCATTGAAAGCAATACTGCAAGCGGACTAATCAGCCTGCCAGCTGGACTCGCTGGCTCAGTTCCAAGCCCACCGCTGCATTTAGTATTTATTTACAGAATACAGATGCATTGTGCAGAAAACATAGAAAGGATAAAATCGAGACTATTATGAGGTATGGAGGTATAATAATTTTCCTACACATAGAAGTATCAAATACCATTATTGGCATGGCATGGCTACATGTACATACATCCAAGCTTTGAATGGCAACATTTATAAAATCCTGTAGTAGTGATCGATTTGCAAGTTCTAGTCCAAAAAGTTCCACGAAAAATCAGACATGTTAAAACTTATTTACATTGCTGGGCTGCGCAAATAAACCAGCTCTTGAAATGGTTGTACAATCTAGCATCCATGTGAGGCATATACAAAAGATACAAAGGCACGACTTTTATGATCAAGTAGAACCATGGCATTACATTATCGGCAACGGCATCAATGTAGTTTATAGAAGTTTAAACCTTTTATCTATTTGAAGAACACTCTATGAGGCTTTTATGATTAAGAAGTAGAACACCAACATCACACTATCAGTATCGACATCTACAAAGTTCACAGAAGTTTAAACCTTTTTATCTGCAACATTTGAATAACTTTATATTTTGAAGTGCTCGATGAGAGCTTTGCTCGCAAGGTCTCGTTTAAAGAAGGCCCCCAGAAACTCAGACATAGTAAAATTCCTGTACTTTGGTGGGTTTCCCGAAGAAATCAGATCTGGCAATGGTCCATAAAAAACAGAGTCGCCTCTCTTGCCAGGATTGTAAAAGATGGCGCTTGAAACTCTGGCTTCTTCATGCGACTTCATTACTACCCGGTGTTCCACACTCTTGTACTTATCATTAGACATGATCTGACAGAAAAATAAGTTGATGGAAAAAATTGGCATTAGCGAAACATATTCAGGAAGCCTCTTTCCAGGTAACCATTAACAACAATTTGAATGTCTTAGCTATCTGCAAAACAGAGAACACGCTTCTACGAAATCATTAACCCAATAAATGTGATATCAAGCTGTAATGAAGCTGTAATGTGATATCTCTTTCCAGGTAAATCAATTGTTTATTCGTTCATTTTACCTTTTATGTGTGATTGTTGTATGCAGTCAACATGATTTTCTTCTTTCATTATGATTCTGGTGAATGGAAAACTATATAGTACAAATTTCTGTTCTGACCCAGCAAAGAACAGCTGTTTAGATAAAATTAAAAAATAGATAATGATGGCTGGGGGGATTGTAATCCACAAAGATATTATATTCAGCGAAAAGTTCAGAATCACATGTTTCTGTTATCTTTGTTGTTGACGTACTTCTACTTTTTTTTCTTGACCAATGCATGAGAACGGTGTGCCATTTCATTAAAAGTAGGAGGAAAGAAAACAAAACTAGCGGTAGGGAAGATCTTACCATGATAAATACACCCAACCCGCACACAGCAGAGAGGCATTTAAATATTTGTCACGCTTAGATTTAGCGTTTAATTATTTGCCATGCATATATCAATCACATGTCGGCCACGACCAAAGCAACTGATACCAACAAGAGGCCTAGGCAAATGACCAGAGGAGCAGACTGTGGAGTCCCTTAGCTCCTGCCATGCACCACAAAACTCTTTCATTTGTCACCATATGAACAACCATGCTAAGGTTTGGTTGGTAACTAATGTTGCCACACATTTTTTACTAAGGTGGCTAAGCTTAGTCTTGTCACACTTTTGTGGCAAACAAAATGACAAACTAAGCTTAAGCAAAGTTAAGAAAAAAAATAGTGTATGACATGTGGACCAGGTGGCTAAGAGTTAGTCAAAATAGAGTCATGGCAAGGACCAAAAATTGTTCACTAAAACTATGGTTTGCCTAAGATTAGGTGTGACAAATTTAGTTGCCAGCCAAACAGACCCTAAATTAAGGTTAGGTGTGACACGATCGCATCTATGCTTCCACAATTCCCCTGCAACAAGCGTAACGAGAGAATTCAGGCCCTTCTGGAGTTCCTTAGGCACTTTCTTGACAGTAGCATACCACCAGCTAGAGAAATGGTTATACTGAATTAACTTATGCAAAAAATAGTGCACTACTGCATGGCGGAGTTCCTACCTCTCCCATACAAAAAAAAATAAAAAATAAAATCAAGATGGTATTCTATCACCCATAGGCCAGAGTCCTTGTGGGGCACACAGTTTCTTTGGAGCACCACACCATCGATGACTCCATTGCTAAAACCCAATCATGGGAAAAATACTAAAATTGCTGGAGTTTGAGGAGCAGACTAGCAGAACAAGTTGCAAATATATAGCCCTAATTGGGGTCTTGATTTCGGTTATTACATTCCGGTCTAATATTTTGGAAGAATAAGCTGAATATCATCAGGAGTAATAATTACAATATTTTTTGCATATAACATTAATACTGTGAAATGGGGATCACTAAAGCATCCCTATATATGCGGTGGACTTGTTGACATCATAGGTATGTGTCATTAAGTTGGAATCAGGAGATAGCTTATAGCTCCTCTGATTTGCTAGGATTCGAGACAAGAAAACTATATATCTTTTACTATAGACAGTTAGAAACTGAACATTTTCTTGAGTTTTAACCACTTAAAGTCTCACGAAACAAAGCTAATTTGTGCACAAATTTAAGTACCAGGAGCAGTTGCTCTTTGTTCCTCATTGATGTTGCCTGTAACAAATTCTGTACTACTCGTAGCAAATAGTCTTAACATGCAGGAGTATGATTCATAAACATATGAGATGAATTGGATCATACTGACAGAACTTGAGTTGGATTGGATTGCATTGCTTACCAATCGAGTGAATTTTACCTGCAATAGGTCCCCGACATTGATCACAAGAGCGCCAGGCACAGGCTTGGTATCCACCCAGTAGCTCTCCCCATCCTCGTTCGTGTGCTTCACCTGCAGGCCACCGACGCCGTCCTGCGCGAGGACGGTGAGCACGCCGGGGTCCGTGTGCGGGACGATCCCCATGGTGCGCTCGGGCTCAGGGCACACCGGGTAGTAGTGGCACACCATCAATTTCCCCTCGAGGCAGGAGGCCTCCTCCAGCGTCTCGCCCCGGAGGCCGAGCCCCTCGCAGAGCAGCGCCATGACGGCGCGGGCCACGGCGGTGGCGTGCGCGTCCCAGCCGACGACCTCGGCGCGGCACGCCGCCGGGATGCGCTCCGCGTCGGGCCGCGAGGGCCCGAGCACGACCTGGATCGTGTCGCGCCAGCTCGCGGCGCCCGACCGGTACAGGTCGACGTTGGAGGAGTAGCTGACCCCGCCGTCCACGGAGCGGCCGTAGTGCGCGGCGCGCTCCGCGGCGGGGAGCTCGTTGAAGGCGCGGACGGCGGCGAGGAGCCCGGCGGTGAAGCCGGAGGGGACAAGGGCGTGGTGGTTGACGAGGTAGAAGAACCCCCAGTCGCGCGCGGCTCCCGCCGCGGCCTCGGCGGCGAGCGGCGCGGGGAGGGAGAGGTTGACGACGGGGATGGAGACGCCGGGTGGAGCGAGGGGGACGGAGGCGTAGGGGTCGGGGTGGCGGAAGATGACCGGGACGGCAGAGACGCCGGACTCGACGAGGCCGCGGACGCCGGTGCGTGTCTCGTCGAAGGCCTTGACGAGGGCGATGCGGTCCGTTGCCGCGGCGGCGGCGGCGGAGGACGCCATGGTCGCCGCGTTGTTGATGGCGATGGAGTCTTGGAGTTTGGAGAGACGTGGACAGTGTGGAGGGCAAGAAGGCAAGAACAGTAGCAGCAAAGCAAAAGACGTTGCCGGCAAGCTGGGAGTTTGGTGAATAGAAAAGCGATCGGTTTGATTACGATACCATTAATTAAATATCTAGTTTTTTAAGGAGTAATTGAATATCGAGTTTCTCACTGCTCAACTACTGCCTCCAAATCATCTATAGCCAATTCATACAATAGCTAACTACTGGCTTTAAACATTTATAGCCAATTTATATAATAGTTATCGATAAACATATAGTACACTATCAATATATGGTGCCATCTGTCATACACACATTATATTTTGGAGCTCATGCTATAGCTGGCTTTGGAGCTTATGCTATAGCTGGCTTTGGAGCTTATGCTATAGCTGGCTGCAGATCCGTAGCCCGCTGCTCCTCTTTCTTCTCTTTTATCTACTCGATATGTGTTTATAACTGGCTTATAGTCTGCTATTATACCTGCCCTAATAGTCAAATATGAGTAGTATATTAATCAAATCTCTATCTTTGGGGAACTAATTTGTCATCTGCTATATTTAATTCTCTCCTGACTTTGACTTTGAGGTGTGATTAGATTAGATATCTTATCATTTTGGCGTATAATCCGGTAGTACTATACAGAGTGAATTTCTTCATCAAAATGGCACCAAGCCGTAGGAATACCAAGAAAAAATTGAAAGTCATCCACTCTGTTAATAGGTACTATGGGCCTGTTTAGACCCATTTGAAATAGCAAATGGCAAATAGTAAAAGTTTTGGTATGCAAAAGTACTAGTTGTTGTTTAGATGCATCTTAAAGTTTTGTCATTATAGCACTAAAGTGGGAAAGAGAAAGAGAGAGGGAGTGGTTCCAAAACACTTTTTGCCACAATTTGCCACTATGGACTAGCAAATGCCAAATTGCCAACTTTTGCTACTAGTGTTTAGATCCAAAATGGCAAAAAGTGCTTCAAAGGATCTAAACAGGCCCTATGGCTTTCTCGATCTGTTTTGGAAACCAGGTTGTAAGTAATTAGATATCTGTTCGTAAGCCTTATAAATATTACTTTATTCGTTTCACAATGTAAAACTTTTTACCATTGCTTACATTCATTTAGATATTAATAAATCTAGACATATGTATATATTTAGATTCATTAACATCTATATGTATGTGGAAAATGCTAGAATATCTTACATTGTGAAACGGAGAGAGTACTTTCAAACACGTATCATAGTGTATATATATTTGATCGGGCTCCTATTTCTAAATCTAACTCGCTAACTCGAGGAGCGGATTCCGGATTGGAGCCGTGGAGCAGCCCGAATCATTCTAGTTTATTTTTTCATATTACTTTAGCTCATGCAGCTTTCTTTTCAACTAGAGCTATAACTTTAGTTGAAATCCAGCTTTAAAAAAAAGAAATCCAGCTCTAAAGATAGTGAAGCTAGGTTAGAGCTCTTGAGATGGGCTTGCCGATTTAAGCAAAACTTTTTTTTTTCTAAACAAGAGTGAGATTCAAGCTCATTTCGAGATGAATCCCCACCCACGAATCCGACCGTCCATGCGGTCGATCCAACTCTCCAGATTCCCCTACGCACGAACCGACATAACCAACCAAATGGGCCGAGGCCCACACCGCAACCGAAGGGGGGCCGGCTCATTGGACTCCTCCGCCCATCGCCCATTTCCACCCACCCTCGGCCCCTCCTCTCCCACAAAGAAAACAGCACAAGCAAGCGAAAGCTAAAAGGAAAGGAGAGAGAGAAAGGGGAACACAGGAGGACACACTGCAGAGAGAGAGAAAGGGTCAGTCGGAATGGCGGAGGCGGCGAGCTCGAGCTCGGGCACGTAGCTCTCACGCCGCTCGCCGTCGTCGCTTTCCCCGGCGAGGCCGCCCGCGCCGGCCGCCGCCGCCGCCTCTTCTCCGGAGGCCGCCACCGCCTCCCCGCGCGGCGGCTCCGGGGTCACCCGTCTCGCCCCCCCCCTCTCCCGCTAGGGTTTTCTCGGATCCCGAATCGCCGTAAGCCACCACCCCCCACGACGACTTCTCTGGTTGTTTTGCTTGGAGCTCGAGCTCACGGGACCGCTGCTTTGGTCGGATTTGGGGATCGTGCACCTCTTTCCTATCTGGTGAGAAGCGATCAGTGTAGCGCTGCTCCCTCTTAAGCTAGGGTTAGTGCGTAAGTGGGAAAGTAAATTGTTTTGGGGGGAGATGAACTCGGGACATCCGGCTTCTTCTCTAGATAGTAGGTTTGATTGCGGTGTGCCGTGGAATTGCCTACCACGCCTGATAATTTTGGTATCCTGTGCGGAAAAAAAATTATGCGTATTAAAATAATTAGAATTTTTTTCCCTGAACCGTACACTGAGATATTTTTGGCCTGGTGCCATATTTGACAGGTAAATGCAATATCTAGCATGATCTGACTGGTTTTGTCCTGGATGTAGTCACTCGCTTAGTTTCTTTGTGAGTTTTTGCTAAAGGATGGGATCTCTTGCTTTTGGCGCTTTAGTTGATTGGTCTTAATAAAGCTTATTTCCATTCTTAAAAGTTGGAGCTATTCCATTGTATGCATGGGATGGTGTAGCTTGCAGTTAAGGCCCCATGCAGTGTTACATGTTTCCAGAAATACCAAATCTCTAAACTTTATCTGCACACGTAGTGATATTTCTTCTGTTTTATACAAAAACAGCTTGAATCAAAGATGGCTTATGCGTAACAGTGTAAGCAGTCTGATTCTTGTTATCGATTTAGCATCACATCTGTGGTGAGCAAGGAAAACCTAAAGCAGTTGTTTTGTTGAAGTCCTGATGTTAGTAGCTAACCTACAGCACCATATTGTTTATGATGTAATAATTTTCTACATTGCATTAATATTCTGCATCAGCTAAAAATACCCCTGAAATACCAGGCTATGGTATCTGTACACAATATATTCTGTATCTGATGCTTGAAGGCTGTAATTTTTATTCATTTACATGAGCTTCTACTTGGTTACAAAAATTAAATGAGCTATGATTTATTTCATTTCTCTTGGAATTATCTCACTCTGATGACAGGTAGTTTCACAAATGGCCTCATCCCAACAAGTTGAGCTTGAGGCTGCAAAGCTTCTTCAGAAACTCATTCAAGAGTCAAAGGATGAACCTGCTAAATTAGCAACAAAACTTTATGTGGTATGTTGCTCAGCTAGTTATGTAGAAGCTTAGGAGGATATGAAAAACTTTAAAACCAGACCATAACCTTTTTACTTAATTTGATCTTTCAGATATGCCAACATATGAAACTAAGTGGAAAAGAGCAGTCACTGCCATATCAGGTCATATCAAGGTGATTTTTTTTCTTTAGTTGTAGACTTTCTTTTTTTAAGAAAGAACTTGTTATCTATTAAATTCAAATACCTTATAGATTTTTCCATTTTTTGTGAGTCAGAGTTGTTTAAATGTTAAAACAAAAATTGCGTTGCTCCATTTGTTGTATCGTCATAATTGACATTCAAAATTGGTATTGTAGTTGTACTATACTTGTGTTAGAGTTCCACTTCATTTAATTTTATAGATGCTAACAAACTGGATTTTCACGCATCAGTGAAACATAAGTATGGCGACACTTGTGGAAACATTATATGTGGTGACGTCCTAGATGTGTTATGAGGTGTACTGATGCATAGGTTCCTTAAGCTATATCAGGTGACTGCCTTGATGTTAATAAGGAATACTCCCTCCGTTCCAAAATGATCATCATATAGTTTTTTTGAGGTTATTCCTAAATGATTATCATATTTGTGTTCATTCATTAAGTCTATTCGTTATTTGTGCATTGAAGTAAATGGACATTGGTGCATGCATCCATGCACACAAGTATTTATAACCCACATGCAATATCTTGATTTGCTATTGGCTAGGAAATAGTGGGGATGGTGCATGCATCGAGTTTGTTGCTAGAGTAAATATAATATGAGAGAGTTATTAGCTTTTCTTGGTCTTGGTGTACCTATGAAATATGTAGATCAATTTGGAATGAAGAGAGTAACACATTATGCTAAGATGTATGATGTGGGAGGCGCTCATCCTCCAACCTTCTTATTGAACCGATGAAAAAAATTGAATAGTTGGAGAGAAGTAGGTGGAAGATAGCAGCAAGGGCACGGTAGACTGATAGAGAACTGAACTAAAGCAGCAAGGCGGGAGGAGCGAGCTACTTTTACTTAGCTGGCAATTGGCATGTTTGTAGTGTAATATTATGTATCATGACCTTCCATGACTCTGTGGACATAACAAATTTGCGGCCAATGTTTCTGGAACGCCTCCTTTAGCAACTTTTGCCTTGGACTGCATTCCTTGGGAATAAATCATGCGTGTAGTGTTTTGAAGCCATTGTGCTTTCTCTTGTCCGCGGAATTGTGAAACACATGATTTTCCAAGTATGGTCATCTTGTATATTTTTTCTTAATGTAGTGTTTGTCAGTTTACACACACTCGTGCGCGCGCACACACAAAAACACAAAAGTTACTCACACTGTGTCTCCTTACTGGTTGGTGTCACGTAATTTATCACAAATGTGATCTACCTTATTTGTTCGAAATACCAAGTGAAAAGGTGCTGTGTCGAAATAAAGTTTTATCTGATTTTTCATAATTTAGACCTTAATTTTTGCCTCCACAATTCCAAACTTCTATTAACATTTGTCAACAGGGCCATGGAGACTGTTGTAAGCCAACATGGAATAGATATGGATGCGTTGCGATCATCGAGAATCCCATTAGCTGGTGGTCCACAAGCAGGAGATTCTAGTGGTGCTATGCCTAAGGATAAGGAGATCATTGGCAGTCAACCTCCCATGGTTGGTACTGATGCATCCCAAAGTAGTGCGCATGCTGGATTATGGAATTTTCCATCAGGTAACCAAGTAAATCAACATGGTAATCTCAGCCACCTGTTTTGGATTTATGAGTTTGACCTGATGATGCATTGTATTATATTGTCAGGTTCAGCAGATATGGCACGTCACAGTGCATCTATTTCAGGCAGGGTCCCAGCAGGACCAAATAGGAGCGATGTTGCAGGAGCTGATATTCATCAAGGCTCCATGTCACAGAAGAGTGGAAGATCCTCTGGAATGGAAAGCCCTGCCAGTCTGCAAATAGAGGATACTAGATCTATGAATTCACATGATTCTTTGAAGTCAGATGAAAAAACAAGCAAAAAATCATCTTCTAAGAGAAAAAGAGTGGATCCAAAAGCAGCAGGGGACTTGCATTCTGAAGACAACTCAAAATCAGATGCCATGTCTACCGGACAAAATATTAGAAAGGGAAAACAGCCTGGCAAAGCTGGTACTCAGGGTCAACTTTCCAGGACAGTCGAACACGATCCATCACATACATTACAAGTTGGTAATGCTCAGGTGCCACCGTTACCCAGTGGTGCACCTTTCTTTAGGGCTCACCAGGAAGGACCATCAGCTTCTTCTGCAAGGACTATAGACAAGACTAAACCATCAAATCCATTCACAATGGCACAAATTTCAAATTTTGCTGAAGGACTAGCTTCTGGCAACATTCCTGCTGAGTTGCAGAAAAGTATATTGGGAGGAGCAAATCTACTTAATGCTAGTTTTGGCTGGAACCAGAATGCACAAGGTCCAGTTATGAAGAATACTCAAGGGTCTGTTCCCAACCTAATGAGACCTGGTGTTAATGTCGAAGGTACTTCAATTAAAAAAGAATTACATAATAGTCTCACTAGAGACATTGAAATTCAAAAATTTACCTTAATGATTGTGCTTATGCTACAGGGAAAGTTAACTTAGGATCACAAGGAACTTTTAATTCTATGTCTGCATCACAAATGGATTACCCCACAGTTCCTCCTTATGTGTCTTCTTCCTTTGGAGGTGGTCCACAGTATCTTGACAAAGGGAAAGACTTGACTTCAGGCAATACTGGCAGTGAACTAAATTCTTCTAAAGCTGGAGCTCAGCTGGGGATCATGCATGTACGACCTTTAGCTTAATTTTAAATATCCTTATGTTAAAAGCTTGTTCTTGCATGCTGTTTTCGAGACACTGTGACTTATATTTGGGGGAGAAATCCTTGTTAGTGAAATGCAAAAATCTTGTTCCTGTGCTCGCTTGTTCTAGATAAATTCCTCTGGGATATTTCCTTCTTTTTTATTTGTAGACATATTGCAACATATTTGGCAAACCATGAAGGGTGTGGTATTCATTTCCGTAAACTTCTTGTTGAACTTTGCACAAAAAGTATTGTTTGCACTTTAGTAAATCTCCTTCTGTAGCCAGTTTTAGAAACACTTTTGTTTGGTCATACAGTCATCTTTTCATTGATATGTGTATCTCCATTGGTTGACTTAATATTTTAGATGCATTTTGACACACAAATGCGGTATAACTTTCAGGGCAGTCCAATGCAAGAAAGGCACGGAATTGTCAGAGCACCTCAGAGAGCTGGTTCATCTCAAATGTCTCAAACCTCTCCCAGCATTCCATTCAAAGAGCAGCAGTTGAAGCAGCTCAGAGCGCAGTGCTTAGTATTTCTTGCATTTAGGTCTGCACACCCTTCCATATCCTAATTTGTGTCTTGTTCTTTGACAGAATACATCTATGCTTAATATTGAAACCTCATCTCTGTAGCACTCATATCGGCTGTACTTCCTTGTAGAAATAATCTGCAGCCCCGGAAGGTACATCTTGAAATTGCTTTAGGTGTTGGTCCCCCTGCTTCAGAAGGTAAAAACTAAGAATAGAGCAATATTGTGTGAGCTGTCTGCTTTGTCAGTCTTGATGAATCTATGCTTGAAAAACAGGTGGCAGTGCAGGTCAGAGAGGTAGTGAGAGCAGAATGGCTGATGGTTCTGGAAAGGAAAATGGAAACAGCCAGGAAAACCCTGCTATTTTTGGTAGGCAAAGTGATATTTCTAGACTTCAATCAACATCTACAGGCAGTGTTGCGGATGTTGATTCCGCATCAAAGGACCCAGAAATTGTTAAAAAGAAGATCAAGATAGCTGAACATGAGAAATCATTTGAAGCAGAAAATATCCAGCAAACCGTTCCTATACAGGGAACTGATTCTGAAATGCATTCTCAAGAAACGATATCTCCCATGCCATCTGGGCAACTGCATTACTTTCAGGGAGATACAAGAAAAACTACCCCTGAGATCTACAAGGCTGATGCAGAAAATTTGAATAGGAACTTAGGCTGGGTAGGAGGCCAGGGACCATCTCCTTTGGGTGGTAATAGGCATACTAGTATGGAAGTTGGCCTCTTGGCCAAAGATGAAGTGTCCAAAGAACCATTTGCAGTTTTGAGGCCTCATCATATGCCTGTTGATGGTAGCAACCACAATTTATCTGGAAAGGATCAAACTCCTGAGACAGCTGGCAATGAAATTGATAATGGTAGCCACATGGGAGAGATGATATTTGAGCGATCTGCAGATGAAGGAGACGAAGATCTTTCTGAGCAAGATGATTTACCATTATCTCCTCCGAAGTACACAATGACTGATAAATGGATTTTGGATCATCAGAAGAGAAGATATGAAGAAAACAAAAGGAAGGCATTAGAGTTACAGAAGGCACACAGGAGAATTTCAGCATCCTATGAGAAGCTAAAGGTCACTCCCTACTTTTCTCACTTTGAAATCCTGGAAATTGAAAAGCACACTTTTGAAATGTCACACGTCTATAAATTATTGTTTATGTTTCATGTATACAAGATTGTTTCCAAAGTACAGTCTTTTCCTCATGTGTTGTGATTTTTTTAATACAATGGACATCTCGATTTGGTGCACATGTGCATGTGTTATGCTACCATATTCAACACACTGTAAGTCTTAGTTGAAAACTTCAATTCCTTCTGTTTTCTTCAGGAAAATGTTAGTTCATCGGAGGATCTTTCTGCAAAAACAAAGAGTGTCATTGAATTGAAAAAGCTTCAACTTCTCCAACTTCAACGTCGTGTGCGCAGGTCTGCCTGTCATGGACACCATGAACTTTTAATTTCTCTTCCTACCAGACTTTATGTTTCTGTGGCTATATTTCCCCTGTTTTGATTTCTTCTATTTGGCAGTGAATTTTTGCAGGACTTTTTCAAGCCTAATACTACTGATTTGGACCGCATAAAATCAGTAAAGAAACATAGACATGGACGTCGTGTTAAACAGCTTGAAAAAATTGAACAGAAAATGAAGGAAGAAAGGCAAAAGAGAATTCGTGAGAGACAGAAGGAATTCTTTGCTGATATAGAGGCCCACAGGTTGGATTGAAATCACGACCCACTCCTTTATCTTTAGTTCTTCTTACTTTTAGCCAATGTTTTAAGTTATCTGTACCTGGTCTTTAAGTATTTTGTAGAATACATGTACTACCTAATAGTTTGGGGGTGTGTCTGTAATGCAGCTGCTTTCTAGGAATAGTACCGTTTTAATTTTCCTGTACAGGTTCTTTAGAGCAATGACTATAGAAGAAATAGTTTTCTAGAAGCTGCGCTCTGAACATTCCAGTTGCATAGCCATTCTAAGATTGCCCTTGCCCTTTATAAATTGAACCTGGCTAAGCTAAAACTGAAAGAAGTTGACCCAGGAGGAGTTGGTGGTTTACTGAAAAGAAACATATTTATACAAAATAGACCAGAATATTTGTTTCAACCAGCAATTACCTTGCAAGTTATGAGCTTAGTATGCTCATAGTTTATGCTTGTTAAATATTTTACCTATTAAACTGCAGAGAGAAACTGGAGGATAGCTTCAAGGTTAAGAGAGAACGCTTGAAGGGTTTCAATCGGTACGTAAAAGAGTTCCACAAGAGGAAAGAGCGAATTCATAGAGAGAAGTTAGACAGGATCCAGCGGGAGAAGATCAACCTGCTTAAGAATAATGATGTTGAAGGATATCTTAGGATGGTTCAGGTGAGTGTTGGTTGCTTTCTTTTGACTTCCTTTTATATTTTTTGGTTAATCCTTCGTATTTCTTAATGTTTGTTGGACTAAGTCAAATTCTAATAAACATTAATATCTCTAGGATGCAAAATCTGATCGTGTTAAGCAACTTCTGCGAGAGACTGAGAAATATCTACAGAAGCTTGGTGCCAAACTACAGGGTTCCAAATCGATGGATGGCCGTGTTTCATATGCTTCTGATAGCACAGCAAATGATATTGAAGATGAGAGCTACCAGCCGCAGGTCTGTTCATTACCTTTTGCTCTTGAGTCTTGATTAGATGCATTTTCCTGAAGAATCACCTAACTGTATTTTCTTCTACAGCATTATCTAGAAAGCAATGAAAAATACTATCAATTGGCCCACAGGTATTTCTACATCATTAATTGGATAAAATTACATGCTTCAGTTTATCATACAATAATGCTTTAGTGTTCATTATTTTCCCTTAGCCTTTCTAATTCTTACATAATTGCCTCCATTTTCTAGTGTAAAGGAGGTCGTGAACGACCAACCTTCTTATCTTCAGGGTGGGAAATTGCGAGAGTAAGTTTCACTGCCCATTGTTGCTACATACTTCCTCCGTTTCACAATGTAAGTCATTCTAGCATTTCCCACATTTATATTGATGTTAATGAATCTAGACATATATATCTATCTAGATTCATTAACATCAATATGAATGTGGGAAATGCTAGAGTGACTTACATTGTGAAACGGAGGGAGTATATTCTAAGTGTGATCTATATATTCTTATCTTTCACATTTTTGCTTCTATTACTTCTTTTATCATCCACCACACATTTTTTGTGATCAGTTGCTTGCTTGCTTTATTGCAGGTACCAGATGAACGGCTTGCGTTGGCTGGTTTCATTGTACAATAATAATTTAAATGGAATTTTAGCTGATGAAATGGGTCTTGGCAAAACAGTGCAAGTAAGATCTAGTGCAGTGCCACTAAGCATTTCCTGTTGGCCGTTATGTTACTTGGTGAAAACAATTACCTTAATTCAACTTGTGTTGCCTGCTTTTCTACTTTGGCAGGTAATCTCTTTGTTATGCTACCTCATGGAAACAAAAAATGACCGGGGGCCATTCCTTGTGGTTGTACCATCTTCTGTTCTTCCTGGATGGGAATCGGAGCTCAACTTCTGGGCACCTAGTATAAATAAAATTGCCTATGCTGGCCCTCCAGAAGAAAGGCGCAAACTATTCAAGTAGGTTTTAAATTCTTCCATCTGATCCATGATTTGCTTTATGTTAATATTTATTCACTTTAGTTTTTTTTTTCATTCCAGAGAGATGATTGTACATCAGAAATTCAATGTTCTTTTGACAACGTACGAGTACTTAATGAACAAGCATGATAGGCCAAAACTAAGCAAAATACAGTGGCATTACATAATTATCGATGAAGGACACCGTATAAAGAATGCATCTTGTAAGCTTAATGCTGATTTGAAGCATTATCGGAGCTCTCACAGGCTATTGTTGACAGGAACACCTCTGCAGGTTTGACAGTTTGCACTTTCTCTGTCTATTTTAGTTCAATAACTTTTCTTTTCAACTCAAGCCTGTTTCAATTGTTTGTTTGCCTGGTCATACAGTAGTCTCTACATGAAGTATGTGTTACTTAATTATCTGCATTTTGCTTTTCTCTCTATCACTTGTTGCTGATTTGATGCTCTTTTTCTGTGAAGAACAATCTTGAGGAGCTATGGGCACTTTTGAATTTTCTGTTGCCTAATATATTTAACTCATCAGAAGACTTCTCTCAGTGGTTTAACAAACCATTTGAAAGTAATGGTGATAGCTCAACCGAGGAGGTAAGGCTTCTATGCCTTGTTTTTTCTTTTCTTTTTGGTGTGTGTGAAAGGAGACTTTTTTTTATATCATGGGGCCCTTGATTCTGATTATATTTCATGCTTGAAGGCCTTACTGTCGGAGGAGGAAAACTTGCTGATCATAAATCGTCTTCACCAAGTTCTTCGTCCTTTTGTACTCCGAAGACTTAAGCATAAGGTCTTTGATTTTGTTTGGAATGTTAATGCCTCTTTTGAGATTAGTTACATTTTAGCAGTTCACCGTGCAACTTATTCGACGAGTGTAAAAAATAATTACATATTGTGCTTTACTCGTTGAATGTGCAATATCAAACTGAGGCACTATGGAGCACCAACCTTCTAGATTTAGTGTATTTATTGTACATGTTATATGATTTATTAGTCTGTACACTTCAGGTTGATCAGTAGTGTTTGCAATTGGCAAGGGATTAACACATTCTCCTTTCCAATTCCCTAATATGCTATGTTTAGTTGCATGAGATTGCTTCATTCACCCTTTTGATTATATTAAGGTTCAGTTGTGTTCTGTGATATGTGAAGGCCTAAATATGCTTCCATAATTATGTATTGGTGTTCCTCAAAGCGATACACTGATGTTGAACTGGTACGTACATCATGCACATAGTGCATTATTTTTCATGTATTTTCTTTCCTTCAGGTTGAAAATGAATTGCCGGAGAAGATTGAAAGACTTGTAAGATGTTGGCCATCTGCTTATCAGAAACTTCTAATAAAAAGGGTGGAGGAAAACCTTGGTGGAATTGGAGCAGTTAAGGTGCATACCTTGTGACCGCTCAAAAGTTGTTTCTTTCATTTACTCTACCTTTTCACTTGCTAAATATTTCCAAGGTTTTCGTCGTAAGATACCACTTCATATCCTGTAGGTCCGCTCTGTGCACAATACTGTTATGGAATTGAGGAATATATGCAATCATCCATACCTTAGCCAACTTCATGTTGAAGAGGTAGAACACAACTCTGCAATCCTGCCACATTTTTTTTTGTTTTCTTCTGCTTATCATCAGCCTTTTTGTTATTTCTGCAGATTGAGGGTTATTTACCTAGACACTACCTGCCATCAATTCTGAGGCTCTGTGGAAAACTTGAGATGTTGGATAGATTGCTGCCCAAACTCAAAGCCACTGGCCATAGAGTAAGTGAATTTTAACGCGGTTGGTTGCACCACATGATGCCAGATCTACTAGTTTCTGTAGACGTTCTATTTTAGCTGCAAGTTTATCTCGTTTCTATTGTGCCTTTGTTTTGTTCTTTTGCTATAATTTCTGATTGACCAACTTCAATTACAACCATGTAGGTTCTGCTTTTCTCTACAATGACAAGATTGCTTGATGTAATGGAGGATTATCTTGTATGGAAGAAGTATAAATACCTCCGATTGGATGGTCACACTTCTGGCCAGGAGAGAGGAGCTCTTATCGACAAATTTAATAATCCTAATTCTCAAGCTTTCATTTTTCTGCTTAGGTACGTGAACTACATAGCAATACTTGGAGGATGTATTTTGTGCATTAATGAATCTTTGTTTGCTAAATTTTATATTATTTGAACTTCGACTCTTATTAATGAGTGGATATTTTAGCTCTTAAAGTTTATTTCCTACCCTGTTTTCCACAGTATCCGAGCAGGAGGTGTTGGTGTTAATCTCCAAGCAGCCGATACTGTCATCATATTTGACACTGATTGGAATCCTCAGGTAGCTAGAATTCTTCCAATGATATCATTCAGGAATTTATTCTTTAAAAACCTTTCCAAATAACACTTTCCCTCTATTTTCAGGTTGATCTGCAAGCACAAGCTAGAGCTCACAGAATTGGTCAGAAGAAGGAAGTTCTTGTTTTACGTTTAGAAACAGTAAGGATTTCTTCATTATTAGGAGTATCTTGCAGTCCATTTATCACTTGATTATCTGGGAATTGAAGAGAACAAATAACATTTGTAATGTTAGCTTGGAAAGAAAGAGAATACTTTCGCCATTTGGGCTGCATTATATTTTTGACCTGTTCATTCCATTATGTTAGAATTTGAAAACTTTTCTGTGCTGCTTTATGGAGTCTAGTTCTAGGAGTCTTTGCTTGCTCGAGTAATATAATGCTGTTAACCCCCAAAAGAGTTTATTTCAACTAACTGCTATTTTTGGAAGGTAGATAAACACATCTTTCAAAAAAAAAAAAAACCAGTACAGGCCACAAATATTTTAAAATGCTATATGAATCTTTTATCTTCTGATATAATTGGGCCTGGATGGAATGTATTTATGATTGTATGATGACCAAAAGAAATAGGTACTGCTTGTTCTTTCCAAAACGAAGACTTCCTTTGGAGCAAAGAAAAAAAGAATTCTTTCACTCCAAACTACAACAATTCAATTCTGCCATTTGTTTCTGACTTGGATACCCTTGCCAAATATAAGGTCCAAACAGTGGAGGAGCAAGTCAGGGCTTCAGCAGAGCATAAATTAGGTGTTGCTAATCAGAGTATTACAGCTGGATTTTTTGACAACAACACAAGGTTAATTCTTCACTCACTTTAAAGATTTAACTTCTCTACATCCCCTTTTCCTTTCCATTATACCATGTCTATGGGCACCAATTTCAGTGCTGAAGATCGGAGAGAGTATCTTGAATCACTGCTACGTGGGGGTAAGAAGGAGGAAGCAGCTCCAGTGTTAGATGATGATGCTCTCAACGATCTTCTTGCTCGGAGGTAAGACTGTATTTTGCTGTTAGTACATATGTCACGACCGGGGCATGATCATTGTTAATACTAGTCTGTGACTAATTGCACCACATTTCCCTCCTTGCAGCGAAGATGAGATTGATATATTTGAATCTATTGACAAGCAAAGGAGAGAGGAAGAAATGGTACACAAAATTTGTATATAATTCTTCATTTTGATATTTTCTCTGTGCTAACTTCAGTTCCCCACCTCTTTTGTGCATGTACTACTTCTCTTCTAATGGAATTTGATTCTTGAATAGGCTACTTGGCTAACAGTTGTTCAGAATAGTTCAACTAGTGGGCTCGATCCCTCTGTAATGCCTTCTCGTCTTGTAACTGATGATGATCTGAAGTCATTCTGTCATGCTATGAAGATATATGAGTCATCAAATATAAAAAGTGTGAAGGTTGTAAGGAGGAAGGGTGAGCTTGGGGGTCTTGACACACAACATTATGGAAGGGGCAAACGTGCTCGTGAGGTCAGTTGCACATTAATCTTTTGTACACAACTTGTTTTGGGGGGTACAATCTATTTTTATCCGTTATAACTATTTTTTGATTCCCATTTTCACCCTGAACTAAAAAAATGTTATTTATGCCCTCAACTTTGAAGACTGGAAAAATAGCATGCTAAACCCTACTCCATAGTGATTTTGCTTGACATGGCAGTGAAGTTTGCTGATTTGATCTCTTCTTTGGTAAATTCCATTGATGTGGACACTAAGTGGTGTCCACGGTAGCAGAACATGCATAAACAGGAGCAGTCATGTCAACAAAAATCACTACAGAAAAGGGTCTTCCTAGTGTGTTATTTTTCTGGTTTTGGAAGTTGAGGGTGAAAAATACTATGTAATTGGTTGTTGATTTCAGTGTTAAAAAATGAATTTCAGGAAGAGTTTAAGGGCCAAAAAAGCAATTTTTTTTAAAAAATCAACATGAAACAGTAGGGGATGACCCATTGTAAAGTATATATATAGACTTTGTGCAAAAGTCTGCAACACCTAACATGTGTGGAGGCCTGTATGGCCAGAAAAAAAAGATATCAACTAAAACTAGACTACAATCTTGAATAAAGTTTAAGAAATAGGAAACAAATGGGTGAAGAGGTGAAATTGAGTTATTCTGCAGCCACCTCGAGAAGTGTGGAAAGAATTTCTTAGAAGCTCTGTCATTTAGGAGAATCATGTTGGCTAGAAGCAATCTCTTCAATCTGTTTTTATTTGGAGGTGCTTTGTTCAATATATACAGACGTATCACTTTGTTATTGGTTGATATTCTGCTATTCTAATTTGGGTATAATCCTTGTAGGTTCGCTCTTATGAGGACCAATGGACTGAAGAAGAATTTGAAAAGCTTTGTCAGGTTGATTCCCCCGATTCACCTCAACCTGGTGGTATATCAAGGGATGCAGATGTCCCTAAAGTGGTTAAGTTGGAAGTACCTCCAGAGAGTTCAAAAGAACCAGAGCAAGCCAAAAAAGAGCCAGCTTCTTCTGTTGGAGACTCCCCGCCTGCTAAACGGCGACGAGGTCGACCCAGAAGGTCTGATGCTTCCTTATCTCCTGTTACAGCTCCACCAAATACTGGCAAACAAGAGGCAGGAACTATAATTGATGGCAGTTCTTCTGCACCAACTACTACCATTCATTCGGTTGCTCCAGATGTTACCATTGATTCTACTGCACTATCTGCTACGGGCAATCCAGATGTTGGTACTGAGATTAAGGGTACTACACCAGATGGTACCATCAAACCAGTAATTTGTACTGACAATAAGGGTACCGCATCAATTGCTGTTTTGGAAGGGTCTAATGCAAAGGAGGTTGGTATACCAGCACACAGTGTTCATGAACCTGTATCCAGTTCAGCACCTCATCCACCAACCCCTGCTACATCTAGAGGTAGAAAGACCCAGGCAGGAGAAACACCTCGCAGGCGAGGCCGAAAACCAAAGTCTCTTGCTGCTAGTGCAGGAGATGTTATTCTAAGTCCTGTGGTTGCAGTTGGTAGTGGAGAAGCATATGCGAGTTCTGTGGTTTCATCATATCCTCAAGGGAATGTGTCCTCATCACATGCAAATGCTATGGCAGGTTTGCAGAAGGATACAATCATATATAAACCTGCTGCATTATTGCCAGAAGGAGTTAAAGGCACTCTAACCCCATCTGGAGGAGATAAAGATGAAATGGTTAAGACACCTCTGGCAGAAGACATATATGCTGGAACTGTAACTACCTCAGGAAATGCCAACTCACAGCTGCCAATGATAGCTCATAATGAAAATGCTGGATTGGTTCAAGGGGGCACTGATCAAAACTTGTCCGTAGCTACACCTACCATACCTGTGGTTTCAGAAGGGTCAACAAAAATATCAGAGGTTGTGGTTGCGGATAAACCTGCTGAGAAGCAAGGTGCTCGTCGCCGCAGAAAGAAAACATCTGGTACTGGTAGTGAGGACACTGGGGTGAGCACTAGGCAAAGAGCAGCTAGCAGGAGATTGTACGGTATTGGTACCGCTGATATTGCAGGTACTGACATGAGCACAGGGGAGAAAATAGGAATAGTGAAGGAAATAGATGGTAGTTGTCAAGATACTTCTAAGGGATTACCAAATATTATCTCTCCATCATATGAGAAATCTGGATATGACTCTCAACCAAGTACGCCGATAGCTGTTCCTATTAACGAGGCTGCACTTCCTAGTGGATTCAGCGAAGCCCATGCTACTCATTCTGAACTACATCCTGCCAGAGAATCCATTAGTTCTGTTGGCCATGAGAAACTAGCAGGTGCGCACTTGGAAGCACCTCCATCTGTTTCATTCCAGGCTCCAGTGCAGCATGAGACACGGAAGGATTATGTGGGAGTACATTCTGAAGTCGCGACTACTCATCCGGAAACAATTACTACCCACTCATCAGTGAATCCTGTTATTGATCATAAACTAGCAAATGTCCAATTTGAATCACATGCTTCACTTCATACTTCGGGCAAGGATATCACCACAATGCCATCCGAGGTCGATAGTGGTGCTCCGAGCAAGGCACCAGGTAGGAGGAGGAAAGGTTCAGCTCGGGAACCCCGCACCAGAAGTAATTCTGCAACAGCTGCATCTGAACGTCGTGCTCGACTTGCTGGATCAAAGCAGCCAGATGATATTAAAATGGCAGAGATGTCAGGAAACCCCAGCACTGCAGTCTGCTCTTCTACACAGCAACAGGAAGACAACACTTTGAAAGCTGCGCATGCTACTGGTTCTGTTGGTGAAGAACAGAACAATGCTGAGAATCGTGTGCGTGAAGTGTCAATGCCAGCAGGCATATTGGAGGCAAAGTTAGAGCTGACTAAACAAACTGACCAGGCAGGTACTGATGAAAAAAGTGCCGCCTTGAGCACGCAAATTCCAGCATTGGATGAAAAATCAGGAGAAAGAGAGCTTCCTGGAGGTGATGTGCCCCCCACCCCACCCCCCCCCCCCCCCCCCCAAAAAAAAAAAAAACACGCATGCACACATGTGTGCACTCACACCATTGCAAACTGTTTTTCTTGATCCATATGGGAAGAGTAGTGTGCTCTTTGCTGTTGCCTTTCTTTGTTCAACAGTAAAACTTAGATTACAGTATTCATGGTGAAATCTATGTTTTTTTTTCAGGTCATAATTCAGAGCAGGAACAAGAGATGGTTTCGGCAGCAAAATCAGCATCTGCAAATGATGAGGAGCATAAGGTGCATGAAGTACATCAAATAATTGCTGATCACAATGCACTTCCATCTAGTGCACAGTACACTCTTCAGGATAAAATTGATAGCAGTGCGGATGCGGGCCTGGTCCCTTGTGACAAAATTGCTAGTGTGGTTATTGCAGTAGATGACCAAGACCCTAGCAATGCCTCAGATAAGGATGCTCCTGCCTCCACAGAAGATGATGGAAATGGTCTGCAAAGTGAATGTGTTCATGTTGATTTGGTTCTGGCTAAGCAAGATAATACGAAAGTTGAAGATACGCAAAAGTCGAATCAACCAGCAGAACAAGGGGAAAGCTTGGAGATGACTGGGTCTAAATTTAGATCGGAGACGAGACTGGAAAAAACAGAAGAAACCGTGGATAAGAGTGGTGGTGACAATCTACCAACTATTGAGAAAAATGATGATTCTCCCATAGAAAGGTCATCTCCTTCAGCAGACAAAATTGCCCAAGTAGCATATGGGGGTGAAGCAGGAACTGAAACAACTACGGTGGAGGCCGTTTCTGCTATGAATTCTGATGGCTTACAGGATGTTCGCAATGCCTTGTCCACCCATGGCTTATCAACCAATGATATTACTGTTGCTTCGGAAGAACACAGGGATCCTGAGAGTCATTTGTCTGGTGAAGTGTCAATGTCAGGTGGATCCTCAGAGCTCAAGTTAGAATCGCTAAACCAATCAGAATCTGCTTGCCAGTCTGGTGAAGTAACTCTGGAAGATACACATGCCACCTTGGACATTCAGATTCCTGCATTGATTGAATCAGAAGAAAAAAAGTCACCTGGAGGCGATGTGCATGGTACTCTCTCTCTCTCTCTCACACACACACACACACACACAAACAAAATATTGAAGATTGTGCACAAACACTGTATTTTTTGTTCTTGATATAGCTTATGTGACCTGCCATGTGTGTTGATAGAGTTGATTTGCTGTATGCAAAACTCTGAAGCATTCAAAACAGTTCTTAATTGCTGTTTACCTAATCTCTGTACAGGTAGTGAAGAACAACACATGCATGAAGTACTTCATAATACTGTTGATGGCTCTATCTCTCCATCCAATAGGGAGCAGGACAAGCTGCAAGTTCATATTGATACTAACACTGACGTAGACATTCCTAGTTCTGACAAGGACCATTCTACTGATATTGTTTTAGCAGGTTGCCAAGCCCCTTGCGATGCCTCAGGTAAGGATAAGCTGTCCACCTGTGATGCCTCAGGTAAGGATATGGCTGCCCCTACAGACGATGATCTCAATTGTCTGCAAAGTGAAGATACTGTCATTCCTGTGGCTGATGCTAAGGACGAGACTATGCTAGTCAAAGCTATTCAGAATGACGAAATGTCTATGGGCTCTTCTCATGGCTTACCTGCTACCATACAATCAACTGATTCAGATCGTCTTGCAGAAGAAGGGGAGAGTGCAGAAATTACTGGCTCTAAATTTTCATGCGGGATGGAACAGGAGAAAATGGAAGAGCCCTTGGATAAGAGTGTCACTGACAATCAAACCAGCAGTCAGATAAATGATGGTTCAAACAACATGGATTCACAAAAAGTGGATAGTTCTTTGCAAGCAGCCGATGGTGGTGATCTTTTGGTAAGTAGAGGAACCAGTGTTGAAACCACCACTGCTATTAATACTGATGCGTCAGATGAAAGTATCAGTGTGTCCACTCAGTCCGTCAAAGAGGCTAGCACAGTAGAAATTGGTGCATCTACTAATGACATAGCTCCTGCTTGTGAATTAAGAAAGGATTTTGAGTCTCATGTATCTGGTTGTGTGTCAAAGCCAGTAGGATTGTCGGAACTCAGGTTAGAAGAGCTGAGCCAAACAAAGTCTGTTTCGCAGTCTATTGTAGCAAATGCTGAAGAAACAAGTACCAGGTCTGACATTGAAACTCCTGCAATGGATGCATCAGAAAGTAAATCACCTGAAAGCGATGTGCATGGTACTCTCTCTCTCTCTCTCTCTCTCTCTCTCTCTCTCTCTCACACACACACACACACACACACACACACGCTCATGCATATAAGCACAGCGGATACTTCAGATTCTCCACAAGCACCGCCGATCGGTAGTCTTGATACAGCTAATGTGCATGCTTCATGTTTTGCTAGAGTTGAGTGAAAGGGTGGAGTTCATGGGACCAACGCCAAGTGCAAATGAGAAGAGTATGCTCTTCTATAATTATTTTTTGTAGGTCATTAGCAATACTGAGCCCAGTTTACTCATGCACATCTGTGCCTTTTCAGGTAATGAACTTCATAGTCAAGAACTAGTGAAGATGATTTCAGCTGCAGAAACAGCATCAACAGAAGGTGGCACTCTATTTAAAATTCTGAGCTAATTATTATACTTGTGCATATAAAATAATGCAATATCTGTACAGGTCATCGCGAAAAAGACACGTGTGAAGTAGATCATAAGATTGATTGCACTATATTTTCACCAATTGGGGATCAGGACACACGAAACAGAATTGATGGTGACACAGATTGTGGTGTGCCCTCTTGTCAAAGAAATGCAGCTTTTGACTCTGAAAATGAAGTCTCTGCTGAGATTAATTTAACAGGCAGCCAAGCACCTTGTGATGCCCCCAATAAGGCCACTCCTGCTCCCACAGAAGATGATCACAATGGTCAGGAAAGCGAAGATACTGTGATTGGTGCTGAGCAAGGCACTGTTGAAGTTGAAGCTATGCAGATTGATGGTATCTCCAAAAGCTATTCCAGTGATTCCCATGCCACTTTACAATCAAGTGACTCAAATCAGCTAGTGAACAGTGACTCAAAATTTGAATCATCAAAGAAACATGACAAAACAGATGAAACTTCCAATGAAAGTAGAGGTGACAATCCAACCCACAGTTGTACAAACGATGATTCCCATGATAAGAATTTAGTAGGATGTTCTCCTTCAGAAGACTTAAATGAGGACAATTCTGCCCAGTTAGCTGATGGTGATGATTTAGTGGGAAGTAAGGATACTACTGCTGCACACGCCAGTGGCTTAAAGGAGCTTACCTCTGGCAATTATGTTGCCTCATCTTCTAGCCATGTTGTTCAAGATGTAACATCCATCTCGAAAATGGAGTCTGTGCAGGCTGGTAGTGAGGAAATCTATCATGGCTACTCTGATGAAACCATCCATTCTGCTAGAATCAAACCAGTGGTTGGTACTGAAATTACGGAAAATGCTTCTGTTGCTTCTGCACCAGTTATTACCATCCAACCAGATATTGAAACTGAAGCTGGTGTTACTGCGTCTTTGACTGTTTTGGAAGGGTCTATAGCAGAGGAAGTTGATACACAAGTAGAAAGTGGCCATGATCTGGTCACTAGTACAGCCCCTCTTTCACCAGCTCCTTTACCCGGTGAGAGTCATGCGTGCACTGATGTATCATGTCCTGTGGCTGTGGAGGTATCAGAGACAAAGCTAGAGTCAGCAAACCACACAGCTAGCCAGTTAGGTGCAGCTTGTACAGAAACACCAAATGCCTTGTTGAACACTCTGATCCCTGCGTTACCTGAATCGGAGGAAACAAAACTTTCTGGAAGTGATACAGATGGTACTGTTTTTCTCTGACACAAACATAAATATTTGTTTTTCTCTTGATCTAGATGAGTTGTGTTCTGCGAACGTGCTTGTAGCCCAGTGGTAGAGCCTCCAGTAGAGGGGATGCTGACCCAGGCTCAATTGAACCTGGGTTTCGCACAAAAGAAAAAAAAACCTCGGTAGTCGTAGACGCTGGTAGAAGCTTGCTCCCCGCATGAGGTTGAGAGCGCCTGGTGGGGCGTCGTGTTCGGGGGGATTTTTCTTGACTTAGTTGAATGCCGCCAGCTATCTTAAACCCGCTGTTTGAGTTTTTTTAGATGAGTTGTGTGCTACCTACTATTACTTTTTATTGTTCAATAATAGCAAATGCTTGCACTAATTATGCACATATATGTCTTCTTTTTTCAGGAAAGACCATTATGGCAGAGCTTGCATCTTCCAGTGATGAACATGATAAGGTGCATGAAGTAGGTAATGAAACTGGTGATGATAATAAACTTCCATCTAGTGTGGCAGAAGATGCAGTGCAAGGTGAAATTGATGGCAGTGCTGACATGGACAGTCAAATAATTGCTGGTAGTTCCGAAGCAGAAATCAACAATTCTACTGTGGCTACTATAGCTGACAGCCAAATACCTTTTGATCCCTCAGATAAGGACACTCTTGCAGAAGATGGCAATGGTCTGCAACGTGAAGGTACTACTGTGGATGTGACTGGTTCTAAGGAAGATGATATGGAAGCTGAAGAGAAGCAGATGGATGATAGTCATTTGCCCGCTGCTTTACAATCAACTGAGTCAAGCCAGCCCACAGAACATGCTGCCCCCACACAAGATGATGGCAATGGTCTGCAATGTGAAGGTACTACTGTTGATGTGTCTGGTTCTAAGGAAGATATTATGGAAGTTGAGGAGAAGCTGATTGATGATATTTCCGGAAGCCCTTCTAGTCATTTGCCTGTTGCTTTAAAATCAACTGAGTCAAATCAGCCTGCAGAACATGCTGTCCCCGCAGAAGATGATGGCGATGGTCTGCAAAGCGAAGGTACCGCTGTTGATGTGGTTGATTCCAAGAAAGATGATATGGAAGTTGAAGAAAAGCAGATTGATATCTCTAGAGGCTCATCTAGCTTTCTGCCTGGCGCTTTAGAATCAGCTGAATTAAATCAACCTGCAGAACATACTGCCCCCACAGAAGATCATGGCAATTGTCTCCAAAGTGAAGGTACTGCTGTTGATGTGCCTTGTTCCAAGGAAGATAATATGGAAGTTGAAGACCAGTTTGACGGTATTTCTAGAGGCCCATCTAGCTTTTCTCCTGACACTCTAGAATCAGCTGAGTTAAATCAAGCTGCAGAACATGCTGCCCCCACAGAAGATGATGGCAATGGTCCGCAAAGTGAAGGCACTTCTGTTGATGTGGCTGGTTCTAAGGAGGACAATATAGAAGTCGAAGAGAAGATTGATGATATCTCTAGAGGCTCGTCTAGTCATTTGCCTGATGTTTTACAGTCGACTCCAAATCAGCGTGCAGAGCAAGAGTGTTTAGATAATAGTGATGACGTGAACACATCTGTTGTTTCCTCCCATGCCCCATTAAGTGGCCCCAAATTTACATGTGTGAAAGAACTTGAAAAGGCAGATGAAACCTTGGAAACGAGTGATGCCCAAGTAGCAGATGAAGTCTGTTTACAGACAAATGATGGTGCTCACAATATGGCTTCAGGAAGTTGTTCCACTTTAGAAGACAAAAACGAGGACAGTTCTGCCCAAATAGCTGATTGTGAAGATTTATTGCTAAGGAAAGGAACTACTGTTGATGACCTTGATGGCTGTGTCGAAGGTCACAGTGGCTTGTCCACCCATTCCAATGATGAAGTGCGCAACCTGGTAGAAATTGTCAAGGGTATGAATGATACTACTGCTGGCAGTGAAGTGCATGTGGATCCTGAAAGTCATGTATCTGATGAAGTGTCAATGCCAGTTGCACCATCAGAGCTCAAGGTAGAATTGAAGAACCAATCAGAACCTGCCTGTCAGTTTGGGGCAGTGATCGTCGAGGAATCAAATGTCAGCTTGGGCATTCAGACTCCTGCATTAGCTGAATCAGAAGAAATGACATCAGGAGGTTTCATGCACGGTATGCTCTTTTCTTTCAAAGTAGCACGGATGACTGTTATTCTTGATCCTTCAAATGTGTATCTTCCATGTTCTGCTAGAGTTCGAAGAACTGGAGGAGTGTATTCTTTTGTTTTTCCCTTTGGTTAGTACTGGCAGCTACTCAAGTGCAATTTTGCCTTTTCAGGTAAAGAAGTTTGTGCTTCAGAACAAACGAATATAGGTGCGGCTGCAGAACCTGCATCTACAAAAGGTTTGCTGGTTTAAAATTATGCACTATTGCAACCATTCCCTCTTAGATACTACCTCCGTCCCATATAAATTGCAATTCTAGCTAATTTAGGACATATTAGTAGGATTGAAAAATGACCACAATGACCTTATTTAATGAATCCAATAAATACACACATTCCATATATAAAATTGAGTAAAAGGAAATTTGAGACATCAAGTTAGAGATGTGATGGAAGGAATGGAGATTACGAGGAAATATGTTTTGATGTAATCAATTTGTTGGGTCCCACATTAGTAGAAATACAATTTTTATGGGACAATGGTTCAAAGGTAGAAATTCAATTTTTATGGGACGGAGGTAGTATATATTTTTTGTTCTGAACTTCTAAACTCTGACAAATATGCACACAAAAAAGTGGATGGCACATTGGCATTACACAAGTAGATTTGTCATCAAAAGTACTTCTAGACTACTAATATGTTTTTTACTTTTCCATACATATAATCTATACTACTTTAAAAGGTAGTAGTGGTGATGGCAGTAAATCTGTCTCCACTACCTCTATCACTAACGTATGGGCCCTATGTGTTGATGAAACTCCAATGCTCAATAAATTTAAACGATCCCCAAAATAACAATGTCTACACAAAATAATGTCCATATTATTTGGTAAGATCTTTACAATTATGTAGTGAAGGAATCAATATAGTTGAAGGGGTCAGAAAGAGCAGGTCTACATATTCTTTAAATGATGAGCGTGCAGTGCACATAGCATGATTTTTTTTTCAACGCATAGGCAATTTGCTAGTTAGAAAATAAATTGCAGATGGGTGTACGGGAGGCATTGTCTGAAAAGGCAATTAAAGGGGTACAGAGGTGGTAATTAATATATATGATCATGTTTACAATACTAAGTGTAGTTATTCATTAGTTTATCAATTTTCTATACAGATGATCATGATATGCATGAAGTTGATAAAGAGATTGTTCATTGTACAATATCTTCCCCCATAGGGGATCAGGAAAATCTGCAAGGTAACATTGATGGCAAGATGGACGTTGGCCTGGCGGCTTGCCAGACAGAGTCAGATTTTGTGAGTGGAAATGACCATTCTAGGGAGACTGATTTAGCAGGCAGCCAGGCACCTTATGATGCCTCGGATAAGGAAGATACTGCTGCTGATTTGATTGGTCCTAAGCAAGCCACTCTCGAGATCGAAAAAATGCAGATTGATGGTATTCCTGAAGGTCCTTCTAGCGTGCCTGCTGTTTTGCAGTTAACTGACTCAAATCAGCCAGCAGAACAAGAGAGATTAGAGAATAGTGACTCTAAATTTGCATCAACAAAGGACCAGGGCAGAGTGGATGGAACTTCCAATTTGAGTGGAGGTGATAATGCAAAGTGTAGTCTTACCAATGATGATTCTCAAACTGTGAATCTAGTAGGATATTCACCATCAGAAGACTCGAATGATGATGATTCTGTCCAAGCAGCTGATAGTGATGGCGTTCTGGGAAATAAAGAAGGTACTGATGATGTTATCTCTGCTGCATGTACCGATGATGTATCCATGCTGAAGACTGAATCAATAGATCGTCATGGTTCTGACGAAGTTGATCATTCCACTGCCCCGTCTGCTGCCATCAAACAAGAGAGTGGTACTGAAGTTACGTGTGACGCTTCTGTTCCTGTTTCTGAAAGCTCTATATCAAAGGAAATCGGTACATCGCCTGAGTGTGATGATGATCAAGTGGCTACAGCAGCACCTCATCCACCAACGCCATTATCTGATGCTACTGATGTATCTGCTGATGTGCAAATCCCAGCAGGAATATCGGAGGCAAAGCTAGAGCAGCCGAACGAAACGACTAGCCCGTCGGGTGCTGCTACTGAAGAAAATAATACTGTCGTGAGCACTCAGATTCCAACATTAGCTGAATCAGAAGATAGAACACCCGCCGATACTGCTATTCAAGGTACTCCATACAATGTTCTTCTCTATCCAGATTAGTGTATGCTCTTTGCTGTTATTTTCTGTACGGTGGCTCACATTACTCCCGCACATTATGTGTTCCCTTAGGTACTGAGGTTGACAGCGCTGAGCCAGCATCTGTAAGTGATGACGAAAACAAGGTTACAGCAGCTGATGATAGTGCACTCCCGTCTACTGGGCCAGAGGATACAGCGGACGATAAAATTGATAGCAGCGCTGATGCTAGTGAGAAGTAGGTTATGACAGACTGAGTATGTAAATGATCTCTCTCAAACCTAGTTGTAAATGTTACTGCTGAACTGATACAGCCCAACTACTATAGTGCCTTAGTTATAATTATTATTGCATCTTTTGCTAATATTATGTTAATTCCACCTGGTGCTTGTCGTTTTTTGTGAGTGGTCTTTAACTACTGATATCCAGCGGCCTGCTGGAATTGTGATGTCTGAATTGGTGGGGACTTGCAAAGAACCTGCAATCGGTAATCCTGTCAACCCTTGCTGCTGGGAGTAGGTAACTTGGGTAAACCTAGTTGTTGAAAAGTTCGTTTAACTTTGCGTGTAGGCCCTGTGATGTAGTGCAGGCTGTTGTCCCCTGAGATATCAAGCCGGATCAATAGGTTAACCCTTTGATCCATTGGTAACCCATTTTATTCGGCAAGGATTGTCCCTGTTGAACCAGTATAGTCGAAGGAACCTAACAATCAGTACCACCCTAATTAGTCGAGCAATGTGCAACCCAGGAATATCTCAAATAAATGAATGTTCACGTGCACTGTCGGATTTGTGGTGCAATCAAGGCCATCCTCTGCCTTCGCCCTTCGTGGTACAACGTCAAAGTTTGCCTTAGGTCGGTAGAGGGTACGGATCCTCCGGCGTATCCACCGTCCGGCTTAATTTTTACCCCGTTTGGATCCCTTCATTTGGGGCTGAATTAGATAATTGGATTTGAGTTCTTATGTTTTAGAAACACAGTACAAAGCTAACACTTACAACACGCGCATACTCATCCCTATAAACACATACACGCATACCCTATCTATCTCCAGGAGACTGGGCCGACATATCTTGATATTGACAAAGTCACCACGTGAGGGATGAACGCATACACGCATACCCTATCTCTATAAGTATCTCCAGAAGACTGGGTCGACATATCTTGATATTGACAAAGTCACCACGTGCGTCTTGCTTTAATGGTCAACCCATATAAAATGAGCATAAATTTTGAAAATAAGGAACCCTAAAGATCAAAATATTCACATGGTATGTTCTTAAGAGTATGGCCCTAACATATAGGGATTTTTTTTTTGAAACTATATTTTTTTCCAGTCTATAGGAATATACATATTAATAAAAAAATTAACAAAAATATACCGTAGTAAGGATGTGAACTCATGCGTCATATTAGGAATACGAGGTTGTGGTTTTGTACGTCCATAACAGACCTACGCGTACGAATACATGAGAGCTTGCTCAGCAGGACCCCGCTTCGCTATTCCCTCACGCGAGTTCGCTTTTCTCCCTAGGAATATCATGAGTTTGCACACTCACCGTGCGAACTCACCGCAAGTTCACATCCCCACTCCGCGGCAATGGTATATTTTGTCAATTCTTTTAAAACGTGTATATTCATGTAAAAAAATACATCGACTTTACATGCCTTATAGAGATGTCTCAAGTAAAGTTAAAAGTAGAAAAGATTAAATTGTTGTCTAAGATCAAATTTGTGTTTACATCTATTGGATTTGGAGATGCCCTAGCAACATCGGCGGACGGAATAGTTTGCCCATACGTGGACCACGTGGATGCCAAGTTTACCGACCCGGCCCCCTCACCATCACCAAATCACCATTTAAGTTTTTTTTTTTTAACTAGCTCGCGCTCTCTCCCCAAATCACACGCCCCCAACCACTACGGAAAGGTCAGCACAGTAGCACACACGCTCGCTAATTATGCAATCTTATTAAATTTCCTACTAATAATCATGGCTTAGTGCTACCCAACGACAAATCTGTCGCCTTCGTCGCCGTCTCAGTGGGACAATGGAGTGACTCACTTGCGGCTGCGGGCCCCACCTGTCGGACAGCGTCCTTATCTGCTGCGAGCTGTACACGCCGCGTTCGATTTGCAAATTACAAGAGGAATCGATCAATTAGCTCTCGAGTGACAAAAAAAAAATCCCAATCGAATTGAAAATTTGCCAAATTTTGGTTGGCTCCGAATGGAATTCTGAATTTCTCTGCTTGTCACGAAAAAAAATTATGTGTTAACTAAGGGTGAGATTTACATGGCCGAATCTCTTGTGACCCGTGAGGTTGCAAATTAATTACATCGCTCTCAACTCCGGCGAACTCGCCGCCGGCGCCGCCGCCTACAAGAGGGACAACGGCGTGGGTTGGGGGAAGAGGTCGGCGAATCGCTGGAGGGCCTCGCGCATCCACCAGTGCGGGCACCGGTCCATGGCCTGCTGCGGGGAGACCCAGCTGCGGCGCCTGGCCGCCATCTCCGGCCACCGGTCGAGCTCGTCGGTGACCCGGAGCGGGAAGACGAAGCCCTCGTAGGTGGCGTCGTAGCGGCGGCTCCGGTAGCACCACCGCCCCAGCGAGGCGCCGATCTCGCCGAGCACCCCGGCCTCCTCCAGGGCCTCCCGCCGCGCCGCCTCGTCCACGGACTCGTCCAGCTCCCACCCGCCCTTGGGGAACATCACCACGTCGCCGGCGGCGGCGCCCTTCTTCTGCGAGCTGATCACGAGCACCTCCACCCCGCCGCCGTCGCCCCTCACCCTGTACGGGATGCACCCCACCACCATCCTCCCCCCCGTGTTGTCGCTGTACCTCTGCAGCTCCCTCCCCTGCCTCGCCACCATCACCGCCGCCATCGCTGGAATCGAATCGAATGCGACCTTCTTTGCTTTGCCTTTGGAGTTTGGATTGGATCAGTTGGATCGATGGATGAATCTTTGCTTGAGCTTAGGAGGAGGAGGAGGAGGAGATGGGGGGATTTGGAGGGGATTTGGTGGGTATTAATAGGATTTGGAGGGGGAGAGGGGGTTGTGATTGATCAGCGTCGTCGCCGAGTGATTAGTGGGCGCGAACGCGACGCGACAAAAAAGGTGGGTATGGACCACGCGCGCGCGCGGCTTGGTGTGTGTGTGGACACGGCGCATGGGGCGGGGTGTGTGTTGCTTTCTGTGGCACTGCTCGCTCGGGCAGCTGCCAGCAGGTACAGCAGGTATAGTAGGCTATAAGTCAGCTGTAAATATATTTTAAAAAGATAAATAAGGAGAGAAAAGAACAGCGGGCTACAGATTGGTAGCCAGCTGTAGTACGGACTCCACGACACACTGTGTGTATAATAAATGAGACCATGTATTAATAGTGTAGTATGTAACTATTGTATTAATGAGCTATTAGGTTGGCTATAGATAAATTAGAGCTAGTAGTTGACTATACTATTAAACTTGCTCTTAGATCAAAGTTTAATAGTATAGTCAACTACTAGGTACCTATTCATCCGTAGTTATTTTAATAACTCATTCATACAATAGTTACATACTACACTATCAATAACCGGTACCACCTGTCATACACACATTGCGTCTTGAAGTCCGTACTATGGCTGGCTATAAATCTGTAGCACGCTGCTCTTCTCTCTCCTCATTTATCTCCTTAAAATATGTTTGCAGCTGGCTTATAGTTTGCTATTGTACTTGCTTTTACTACTTACACTTTGCTTCATCATCAGTTGTACTCCCACCGTCCTATAAAAAACGAATCTAAAACCGGATGTGATATATTCGTACTAATAATCTAGACATATGTAGTACTAGGATTGTCATATCCGATACTAGGTTAATTTTTTATGGGACGGAGAGAGTAAACTTGTATGAAAATTTTTATTCTGTTTTTTTAGCTGATGATCAGGTAAGGGAGTTGCTAGAATGTTGGAGTTTTGTGGTTTTTCTTGATAAGTGGCCACTTGGTCTTGCTTCCTCTTCTAGAGTAAAATCTGTTTGGACAAATTGATTCTAGAGTAAAAACTGTTTGAACAAGTTGATAGTTTATGGTCTATTTCTAGAAGATTTGGGGTGTAGTATTGAATAAGTAGTTGTACTGTTGACGGTTGTGTACTAGTTGCGTGTTACGAGAATTGAACGGGAAATATATCTTTGTTGCCTTTTCAGGGCATTAATTATCTGATAGATGAGTCGAAACTAAACTTTTTAGAATAAGTGCCTCGAATTGTACACATGTAGCTTGATTGCTAATCGTAATATTGATTTTTCTTCTTTTTCTTTTTAACATGGATTATCCTCGTGAAAACAAATGAGATGATAAGTTGTATCACTTTTTTTTCTAAAGAAAAACTGTTGTTATGTTTCGCATCAACAATAAAGAAATATTTGTCATGATATACAGCTAAATTGATCTTTTCAATATGGTGATAAGAAAATTATACGCAACTTCTACTCTTATATTTGACAATTTAAGCATATACAGGATTTCTACATCAAATCTATTACGTTCGTTTTTTCTTTTGTCACTTAAGAGTGTACAATTTCTGTTTTCACACCAATAATTTCAAAGGACATTAACTAATCCAACTGTGCGTAAGTACATTTACCAGACTTTCACTCCATGGTCCTCTATTCCATTATTAAAAAAAAAGGGAAAATCAGCCAATTTAATGCATGATTGCGAAGGGCAATCATCAATGGCTAAAACCCGTGCCACATGAGCACCATCCATCCATCCATCATCTCAGAGGCTATATCTCCCTCTCTATCATCTCAACGAACGAATATCACGTACCGGTCCACCGTGCACCGGGTGCAGCCGGACGGAGAGCAGGTAGGGACAAGCAGAGGACAAACCGCGTAGGACGAGACGAGACGAGAGCGCATCTCGGCCTTCGCAGCTGCTTCTCGCCCCCACACACACATCTCCGTCTCCGGACGCCGCTCGCGTCGCGTCGCGTCACGTCACGTCGGCCTCCTCCTCCTCGTCGTCGTCCATCTCAAGCTTAGCCGCGTACGCGCCTCGTCTCGTCTTCCACCTGTCGAAACATGATTTCGGCAATAATAAAACGGGGTAGCGCACGAGACCTAAAAGTGGATGGATGTGGAGACAAAGGATTTAGACAGGTTCAGGCCCTCTCAATGAGAGGTAATACCCTACTCCTGTTTGGGGATTTGAATCCGCCGGGTGTAGTATAGATCTAACGATCATATGTGCTCATGCCCCCTAGAGGGCCTCCTGCCCACCTTATATAGGATGGGGGGCAGGATTACAAGATAGAAACCTTAACCAACACGGTATCGGCTTCCTAAATCTACTTTACAATATTATCAAATCAGGACTTTAGGCCGCTCCATAATATAAAAGGAAACGTAATACCCAAGTCATGATCTGTTACATATTCCATACATATATGTTATCCCCTATTACTAGTCGGATAACCATGCCGTGTGGGTATGGGGTACCCATAATCTCCACAGTAGCCCCTGAGACCTTCACAGTCAAAAAGATAATCTTCTCCCGAACTAGATTATTCCAAAGCCGAGTACTTCAATCATCTTTGCCATGGTCTCCCGAGTACTTTTACCAAATCTGAAGACTGTGGAGGGCTGAAAAATAAAGTCAGGTGCATCGACTAGATGCACCTAATAGGTGTAGCCCTCGACTATGCGGTTAAGTGAACAAACCAAGCATATAGTCAAGGAATAAATAATCCAACCAACCGAGTGGCTTCGATAATTATAGTTAACCAAGCGACTTGATATAAATATGTAGCATATGCGGTGTAAATCCCTGAATAACATGATCCGAGTGATATACCGACTGCTTTGTAAAACATGATGAGTGTAACCTAAAGTTGGCTACATTATTGAAAATTCACATAGCAAAACAGCTATAAAAAAGCTTGTATGTTGTGAATAAAGAAATTTCCAAAGTATTGGGCATACGCCATGCGCATACTGCTTTAACAGATGTGCTTAAGTCCCTAGAAGACACATGGTTCCACCACACCTGGAAATATATGGCATATGTGGTATAAAATCCGAGTAAATAAACTCATAAAGGATTTACCAACCGCCTGAAAAATGACCACAATATATAATCAGCCTAAGCCATAATATTGGTCAATAAAAATGCACACTTACGTGGCAAAAAGCAACGATATTGTATCCAATCAATTGCTTAAAAACCCAAACAGCACCATGACTATATTAAAAAGTCAGCGGGGCAGCTATATAAAGCTTTACTGTTTGACACCTTTTAAGATGCATTGTACCAACTCCTAAAAAGTTGAGTAACTGCGGTATAAAAGGATTTTAAGGTATTGGGCACTTGATCACGCGCACTTTGGCCTAAGCAAAAAGTGCCTAAGTCCCTAAAAGAACGTGACAGGCCACACCTGAAAATATGGGCTGCAGACATATTAGGCCTAGACCAAAAAATATGCCTTCGACACCCTTTAAAGGATGACGCATGTAACATGCTCTCGAGTAATAAATCTTCCGGGTGATATAGACCAGGTGTAGCTCATATGAATAGCTTCTGATCTGAGTGATTATCCCTTATGAGATACTCCAAAATATATATAATAATTGAATCCCGACTGGCGCAAGTATTCGGTTGATAGCCCTTACGGGGAATAATAATTGGTCCAGTCTTTGAGCATAGAAAATAGACTCATGACTATGAATCCATGTGGAATGTATCCGGAACAAGTCCAAATTGGAGATATAATCCTCACGCTTGAGTTGATGAGCCCCTGAGCATATAGCTTGTCCTTCTGTCATAGTCAAAATTGTCTATTGGCAATAGCTGACGCAGTCGGCATGGAGATGAAATGACCAACATGAAGACGAAATTGCTCATCAGAAGTAACGGAAGATGTCAGTGGTAGTAAAGATGCCACCAATCAAATGTAATGAAGTTGCATAACCATGGAGGCGAAGAAACCAGTCGGCAACAGTCAGGTCAGCTAGCAGTGAGGATGTAGGCGCCCAACAACAACGAAAGAACAGTCGGTGGTGACAAAAGCAAACCGACGATGAAGACGTAGACGCGCATCAACGGTGATGGCGAAATCCACCAATCATGAAGATGAAGAAAATAATCGGCGGCGACAAACGCATCCGACGGTAATGATGATTAGCGGCAACAGAGATAGCCGACTATGATGACGAAGTTTCCCATCAACGGCAGCAGAGTAGGCTATGTTGATGAGGCTTGACAAGATGTTGATGAAGATGACGATGTCGGTGATCCAGTCAATAGCGATGTAGCAGCCGATGATAACGATGAGATCCTCTATCGGCAGTTGCGTAGTAGGCCAACCGTGAAGACAAATAATTGGAGGAGAGTTGATGTTGTTGCCCAACTCGTCTAAACCGAAATATTTGAAGTTGTTGAAGTAGAATGTCTGTTCCGAAGCAAAGATGAAGATAATGACTCCTGGAGTTGACTCGTTGGTTGATGAATTGATTTCTTCAGCTTGACATAAAATTTGTCAAATTTTGAGCCTTGTATTTGTGTAGCCCCCGACTCTTTGATTAGTTGGGAAACAACTGAACATAGAGTCGAGAACTGTAGCTTCTGGTCGTCGAATAGTCATTGCTTGATTGAAGATATGTGTTGAAGATGTCCAAGTAGAAATCCGGTAGTGAAGACGCGCAGTTGTGAAGATAAAAGCACCAGTCGGCGATGGCATAATCAGTCGGCGACAGAAGATGATGATGTCCATCAGTAGTGGTAGCTGTATAAACCAGACGTAGAGGTGAGGGCACTAGTCAGCAGTAGACGAGACGACCGGCGGTGAAGAAGATAAGGCCAATCAACACTGGCAGAATCATGCAGCCATGGAAGTGAAGAAACCAGTCGGCAGCCATGGCAAACGTAGGCAGCTTGTGTTGAAGATACTGATGCCTATTAGTAGTGACAGCGATGTAGCCAGCCGTGAAGAAGGTAGCATCAGTTGGCGTTATAACAGGCCAGCCGTGCAGGCAGTGACACCAGTCAGCGGCGGATGCGGCGGCCGGTCGGTGAAGACG